AGGTGGAGGAGGACTGTCTATAAAGAATGCTCCTGTATACTCTATGTACTGACTCACCAAGAGGTGGAGGAGGACTGTCTATAAAGAATGCTCCTGTATACTCTATGTACTGACTCACCAAGAGGTGGAGGAGACTCTCTATAAAAGAATGCCCTGTATACTCTATGTACTGACTCACCAAGAGGTGGAGGAGAACTCTCTATAAAGAATGCTCCTGTATACTCTATGTACTGACTCACCAAGAGGTGGAGGAGGACTCTCTATAAAGAATGCTCCTGTATACTCTATGTACTGACTCACCAAGAGGTGGAGGAGGACTGTCTATAAAGAATGCTCCTGTATACTCTATGTACTGACTCACCAAGAGGTGGAGGAGGACTGTCTATAAAGAATGCTCCTGTATACTCTATGTACTGACTCACCAAGAGGTGGAGGAGAACTCTCTATAAAGAATGCTCCTGTATACTCTATGTACTGACTCACCAAGAGGTGGAGGAGAACTCTATAAAGAGGTATACTCTATGTACTGAACTCTCTATAAAGAGGTGCTCTATATACTCTATGTACTGACTCACCTAAGAGGTAAAGGACTGTCTATAAAGAATGCTCCTGTATACTCTATGTACTGACTCACCAAGACTGACTCTATAAAGAATGCTCCTGTATACTCTAGGTGGAGGAGGACTGTCTATAAAGAATGCTCCTGTATACTCTATGTACTGACTCACCAAGAGGTGGAGGAGGACTGTCTATAAAGAATGCTCCTGTATACTCTATGTACTGACTCACCAAGAGGTGGAGGAGGACTCTCTATAAAGAATGCTCCTGTATACTCTATGTACTGACTCACCAAGAGGTGGAGGAGGACTGTCTATAAAGAATGCTCCTGTATACTCTATGTACTGACTCACCAAGAGGTGGAGGAGGACTGTCTATAAAGAATGCTCCTGTATACTCTATGTACTGACTCACCAAGAGGTGGAGGAGGACTGTCTATAAAGAATGCTCCTGTATACTCTATGTACTGACTCACCAAGAGGTGGAGGAGAACTCTCTATAAAGAATGCTCCTGTATACTCTATGTACTGACTCACCAAGAGGTGGAGGAGAACTCTCTATAAAGAATGCTCCTGTATACTCTATGTACTGACTCACCAAGAGGTGGAGGAGGACTGTCTATAAAGAATGCTCCTGTATACTCTATGTACTGACTCACCAAGAGGTGGAGGAGGACTCTCTATAAAGAATGCTCCTGTATACTCTATGTACTGACTCACCAAGAGGTGGAGGAGAACTGTCTATAAAGAATGCTCCTGTATACTCTATGTACTGACTCACCAAGAGGTGGAGGAGGACTGTCTATAAAGAATGCTCCTGTATACTCTATGTACTGACTCACCAAGAGGTGGAGGAGGACTCTCTATAAAGAATGCTCCTGTATACTCTATGTACTGACTCACCAAGAGGTGGAGGAGGACTCTCTATAAAGAATGCTCCTGTATACTCTATGTACTGACTCACCAAGAGGTGGAGGAGGACTCTCTATAAAGAATGCTCCTGTATACTCTATGTACTGACTCACCAAGAGGTGGAGGAGGACTGTCTATAAAGAATGCTCCTGTATACTCTATGTACTGACTCACCAAGAGGTGGAGGAGAGGTCTGTCTATAAAGAATGCTCCTGTATACTCTATGTACTGACTCACCAAGAGGTGGAGGAGGACTGTCTATAAAGAATGCTCCTGTATACTCTATGTACTGACTCACCAAGAGGTGGAGGAGGACTCTCTATAAAGAATGCTCCTGTATACTCTATGTACTGACTCACCAAGAGGTGGAGGAGGACTGTCTATAAAGAATGCTCCTGTATACTCTATGTACTGACTCACCAAGAGGTGGAGGAGGACTCTCTATAAAGAATGCTCCTGTATACTCTATGTACTGACTCACCAAGAGGTGGAGGAGACTCTCTATAAAGAATGCTCCTGTATACTCTATGTACTGACTCACCAAGAGGTGGAAAGAGTATACTCTCTATAAAGAATGCTCCTGTATACTCTATGTACTGACTCACCAAGAGGTGGAGGAGGACTGTCTATAAAGAATGCTCCTGTATACTCTATGTACTGACTCACCAAGAGGTGGAGGAGGACTCTCTATAAAGAATGCTCCTGTATACTCTATGTACTGACTCACCAAGAGGTGGAGGAGGACTGTCTATAAAGAATGCTCCTGTATACTCTATGTACTGACTCACCAAGAGGTGGAGGAGGACTGTCTATAAAGAATGCTCCTGTATACTCTATGTACTGACTCACCAAGAGGTGGAGGAGGACTGTCTATAAAGAATGCTCCTGTATACTCTATGTACTGACTCACCAAGAGGTGGAGGAGAACTCTCTATAAAGAATGCTCCTGTATACTCTATGTACTGACTCACCAAGAGGTGGAGGAGGACTCTCTATAAAGAATGCTCCTGTATACTCTATGTACTGACTCACCAAGAGGTGGAGGAGGACTGTCTATAAAGAATGCTCCTGTATACTCTATGTACTGACTCACCAAGAGGTGGAGGAGGACTGTCTATAAAGAATGCTCCTGTATACTCTATGTACTGACTCACCAAGAGGTGGAGGAGAACTCTCTATAAAGAATGCTCCTGTATACTCTATGTACTGACTCACCAAGAGGTGGAGGAGAACTCTCTATAAAGAATGCTCCTGTATACTCTATGTACTGACTCACCAAGAGGTGGAGGAGAACTCTCTATAAAGAATGCTCCTGTATACTCTATGTACTGACTCACCAAGAGGTGGAGGAGAACTCTCTATAAAGAATGCTCCTGTATACTCTATGTACTGACTCACCAAGAGGTGGAGGAGGACTGTCTATAAAGAATGCTCCTGTATACTCTATGTACTGACTCACCAAGAGGTGGAGGAGAACTCTCTATAAAGAATGCTCCTGTATACTCTATGTACTGACTCACCAAGAGGTGGAGGAGGACTGTCTATAAAGAATGCTCCTGTATACTCTATGTACTGACTCACCAAGAGGTGGAGGAGGACTGTCTATAAAGAATGCTCCTGTATACTCTATGTACTGACTCACCAAGAGGTGGTGGAGGACTGTCTATAAAGAATGCTCCTGTATACTCTATGTACTGACTCACCAAGAGGTGGAGGAGGACTGTCTATAAAGAATGCTCCTGTATACTCTATGTACTGACTCACCAAGAGGTGGAGGAGGACTGTCTATAAAGAATGCTCCTGTATACTCTATGTACTGACTCACCAAGAGGTGGAGGAGAACTCTCTATAAAGAATGCTCCTGTATACTCTATGTACTGACTCACCAAGAGGTGGAGGAGGACTGTCTATAAAGAATGCTCCTGTATACTCTATGTACTGACTCACCAAGAGGTGGAGGAGGACTGTCTATAAAGAATGCTCCTGTATACTCTATGTACTGACTCACCAAGAGGTGGAGGAGGACTGTCTATAAAGAATGCTCCTGTATACTCTATGTACTGACTCACCAAGAGGTGGAGGAGGACTCTCTATAAAGAATGCTCCTGTATACTCTATGTACTGACTCACCAAGAGGTGGAGGAGGACTGTCTATAAAGAATGCTCCTGTATACTCTATGTACTGACTCACCAAGAGGTGGAGGAGGACTGTCTATAAAGAATGCTCCTGTATACTTTATGTACTGACTCACCAAGAGGTGGAGGAGGACTCTCTATAAAGAATGCTCCTGTATACTCTATGTACTGACTCACCAAGAGGTGGAGGAGGACTGTCTATAAAGAATGCTCCTGTATACTCTATGTACTGACTCACCAAGAGGTGGAGGAGAACTCTCTATAAAGAATGCTCCTGTATACTCTATGTACTGACTCACCAAGAGGTGGAGGAGGACTGTCTATAAAGAATGCTCCTGTATACTCTATGTACTGACTCACCAAGAGGTGGAGGAGGACTGTCTATAAAGAATGCTCCTGTATACTCTATGTACTGACTCACCAAGAGGTGGAGGAGGACTGTCTATAAAGAGTGCTCCTGTATACTCTATGTACTGACTCACCAAGAGGTGGAGGAGAACTCTCTATAAAGAATGCTCCTGTATACTCTATGTACTGACTCACCAAGAGGTGGAGGAGAACTCTATAAAGAATGCTCCTGTATACTCTATGTACTGACTCACCAAGAGGTGGAGGAGGACTGTCTATAAAGAATGCTCCTGTATACTCTATGTACTGACTCACCAAGAGGTGGAGGAGGACTCTCTATAAAGAATGCTCCTGTATACTCTATGTACTGACTCACCAAGAGGTGGAGGAGGACTGTCTATAAAGAATGCTCCTGTATACTCTATGTACTGACTCACCAAGAGGTGGAGGAGGACTGTCTATAAAGAGTGCTCCTGTATACTCTATGTACTGACTCACCAAGAGGTGGAGGAGAACTGTCTATAAAGAATGCTCCTGTATACTCTATGTACTGACTCACCAAGAGATGGAGGAGGACTCTCTATAAAGAATGCTCCTGTATACTCTATGTACTGACTCACCAAGAGGTGGAGGAGAACTCTCTATAAAGAATGCTCCTGTATACTCTATGTACTGACTCACCAAGAGGTGGAGGAGAACTCTCTATAAAGAATGCTCCTGTATACTCTATGTACTGACTCACCAAGAGGTGGAGGAGGACTGTCTATAAAGAAAGCTCCTGTATACTCTATGTACTGACTCACCAAGAGGTGGAGGAGGACTCTCTATAAAGAATGCTCCTGTATACTCTATGTACTGACTCACCAAGAGGTGGAGGAGGACTCTCTATAAAGAATGCTCCTGTATACTCTATGTACTGACTCACCAAGAGGTGGAGGAGGACTCTCTATAAAGAATGCTCCTGTATACTCTATGTACTGACTCACCAAGAGGTGGAGGAGGACTCTCTATAAAGAATGCTCCTGTATACTCTATGTACTGACTCACCAAGAGGTGGAGCTTCAGGGGTCGGGGTTCTCACCGTTTCCTGGCTTTTTCGTTTGGAGGACCTCGTCTACAATGGAAAGTAGTAAAGGAGTTACAACATCATGTCTGCCTGATGGCGTGTGTTCTCAATACATAGTAACTTCAATAACAGCAGCAACTTTCATCATGTAATCCAGGTTTCCATTCACAGCATATTTGAACAAAATCACCTACCTCAGGAGACACTAAATGTGATATAGTGTCAGGCAGGACCAAAGCTTTGGAAACACTTGATCGTCAAACCTGACAAACACATCAATCACAGTTCTCACCTGACACATGGCTGTGCACTGTGCACTGGACCAGATGCTACTACTTTTGCATTCGTAACTACTCGCCTCTTTCCGTGACCTACAAGAAGACTCGTACCCCAATCGTATGCCATTATTGCCAAGAATCATGGCAAACCAATCAAATCGCTCGTAGTAAAATGCATTTCGAAGCCTGAAAATGGCGGCACCGTTGAAGTTTGAAACTTCGCTAAACTATGCAAAGCACAATTTAAACATAAACATTCAGCTAAAGGATCAGAGACTTTAAACACTGAAACATATTTACAAAGGGAAGGACTGTATTGCTGTTTTGCCCACGGGAAAAAGATATTCTAGGAGTTATGTTAGGAAAGTCAGAGTTATCTTTCCATGGTAATAGTACTAGACTGTTTCCACCTCCATGCCCGTTTTGCGCTTAGACAGAGCCCAGTCGTAAACATGGCCACGGGAGGGGTACGAGACGCCATCCGGCTTGCCGGAAGGACACGAGTAGTTACGAATAACTACATTTGGCCAATATTTTAACTATCAGTCCTCTTCTCAAACATCCTCTATGTACAACATTCAAGACATGATGTCCATGTTGGACCTACCCGAGACACATTCTCCTTGGCAGTCCCTGTTGGGTCCTCCAGCTCAGAGAACTGGGCGTTGGAGCTTGAGAGGTCGATCCCTGCCAGGTAGTCATCTGTGTTCTGACTCTGACTACACTGACGATGCAGCTCATCAGCCAGCTTCTCCTGCTCCAGTCTGAAATACAGGAAAAACAAGGTGATATATGAGTGAGTAGTTTGGGTATATAGCATTTAAGAGCCTTACTTCAGTGACATCTACTCTCAGTTGACACACAGAGAATGGTACTAAATTTGTTTGTTTGTTTAAAGGCCACACTCAGCTGTATTCCAGATATATGATGGTGGCATGTAAATATCATCTGGACCAGGACAGTCCAGTGAGTGACCAAACAATCCTGTCTGCAGTCGCTTAAAACAGACATTGTCCATGCATTGAACAGATAAATCTGGGGTATGTCTGCAGTCGCTTAAAACAGACATTGTCCATGCATTGAACAGATAAATCTGGGGTATGTCTGCAGCAGCAGCAATGTTGAAATCAAACCATTATTTGATTATGTACATTGTGCCATGACAAATGAATGAATTCGGTTTTGGCCTGACTGAACATTATTCAAGTGACAACATGTAGCGTCAGCTGAATGTGGGATGAAAGCCCACAGTGATGCAGGTTTGGGGAGTTACCATTTGCTAGAACCCACAAAATAAGGGCATACTAATACTCGAACCCACAATACCAGTATTCTGTGTGTCGAAGGGGCCACAATTGTCGAGGCAATGATACATCAAACTTCCCTATTTTCACACTGTTAACTTTCACATCATTTGAGGACAAACATATCAGTATATTTCCAGCCTACCTCCCTGTTGGATCATCCCACGTCACTTGAACACTCTGTGAAGCTTCTGGCATGCTGTTGGTGTCAGAACTCTTGCCTACACAACAAAACAATAATATGTACATGATGTAAAAAGCACAGCTAATTTCCCAAACCCACCATGTTTTTAAGCGCTTTCTCAACCATGTTTTTGAAATAGCGAGTGAGTTTGGGTTTATTTAGGTGGGTTTGGGTTTTAATTGGGTGGATGAGCTAAGTTTTTAAAGAAAGTGATGTCATGTCCGAATGGTGCTGACAATCTTACATACATGAATTAATTCCTTAGGCAAGCAACTGTGCAGAGAATTTCAGCACCTTAGATGACTGACTCATGACCTATAAGCCTTCTGAAGGAAGGCACTTGTCACCTACATATGACTTACTTCCACTTCTGGTTCTTCTGCTAACACTTTTCTTTTCATCTGAAACATCATCCATACAGTTTTGATAACATACTAGATTTTCATAATGACAAATTATTAAAACAGCATCCAGAGGAAAGTGCAACCAACAAACTTAACCTTTAAAACTTTGGATTGAAAATGGAATAAAGTTCTTTATATTACATGATTCTGAGAAAAATGCTGTCAATTGTAATCTTCCCAAATACCTTGATATGCCCATGGGCTCTGTCTTGAAGAAGGCCGACTCCGTCCACTGTCCGAGGTGTTGCCGGATGTGTTGAACTGACCACTTCCTGTTTAGTGAAATAGTGACATACATAAGTGAAAGGATCACAGTGTTGAAGCCAGCAAGATTCCAGCAACATTTTCACTGATAAAGACCGCCATAAAGTAATCAAAACTACTTACTATTGTTGTGTGGCACATAAAGCAAAGCAATGTTGTAATTGTATTACTTTGTTGCTGCTTAGATTCATGATGTGGAAAGTAACATATTTAGACGCTTTTGGAGTCAAGCGTAACCCGGAAGCTTCTAGAGCAGCAGTTTATTCCAGCATTGTTAACAACTATATGAGGATGCAAGCTGATGCCTTTATCATCTAGGATTACATCAAGACCAACTTCTGTGTGAAAATCATATGTTCAAAAACCTTTGAAACTGCGTACTAGCCACATGAAAACACATTTCCAGACAGTTGTCTGCATAAACATGTTACCAATTGCCACACACATTTCCTTTTAATATGGTTGTCATGGAAACTAAATGAAACATTCAATGAAACAGTTTTATCCCAAACTTTGTGCATGACCCCACTGGTGCCCAGATATATCCAACACTTACCATCAGGTCGCTTGCTTTTCTTTCTTGGTTGTTTTTTCACTCTGCAAAAACACAGTGACAATTCTCAGAACTACACACAATCCAAAATTGAAGTAACATTTAGAAGACCAAACTTTCAGGAGAATAAGATCATAATCCAAAACAATGACTGTCTCTATTAATCATAAATCTGTAAGTGATCACTTTTACCACTATTTGAGTATATTGTTTGAACTAATCAGGCCTCAATGTACAAACATCAGACTCACTTCCCTGCTGAGTTCATGATGGCCTCCATCTGTTTTGACAGCTCTTCCCGGATCTCCAGTGTGCCTCCCACATCATGCTCCACGCCAGTCTACAAGACAGAAACCACCACACGCTCAACACACGAGCAAACAACTGCACTCTGACTCACAGAAAACCCCTTTAATATCTGGTTCTTAAGTTGGGGGTTTAACTAACCTTTCCACTGTACAGTTCTTATATTATCAGTTATCTTGTGTTTTCATATAGTGTGAATTTGGGTAGATGACCTTCCTTCCTCCCTACTAAATAAACAACATTATTACAAGTACAGCTATGGTCCTTTAGTCTATGGTCTATTACCAAGTTAGTCTGTCAGATAAAGCATAGCACATTAGCTTCAATAATACCACTGGGGTCAACATGGAGTACCGACTGATAGCATACAACACATGTACATACATTGGGCTCATCCTGTGCCACCTCCTCTTGCTGATCCTCCAGTGACCGATCTCCTTCTCTGTCTGGATGTTGTTCCTCTTCATTCAGTCTTTGTTCTTCTATTTGTCTTTCTTTTACTCTTTGTTCCTCCTTAAGTCTTTGTTCTTCCTTTTTTCTTAATTCTTCCTGATGCTTCTTCTGATCTTCCAGGCTCTCATGCTCTTTCTTTTGTTGTTCCGATTGTTTTTTTCTCACTCCCCCTCACGCTGTTCCGAGCTGCTCTCCGCGAGGGGACGTCCTGGAGTTCGGCCACCAGACACTGCCTGCACATCAGTCAACACATGATAAGAACCAAGGAATATCACCCACAATAGTAGCTAATGAATAGAAAGAAGGGTATGAAACAGTTTTGAGATAAAACGGACAGAGTTTGAGATTGTATGTTTCGCTATTTTTGTCAATAACACAATATTGAGGAAGGAAATACAAAGCTTTCCAGCATGGAAAGGAAAATAATTTAACCAAAATGCTATTCTAGATAATACAATGAAAACAGAATAGTCTCTATTGTTTGCATCAAGATACTTGTCTGCTCATAAAAGTGCCAGAAATATTTTCAAATATGCAATAAAGTTTATTGGTTGTTGTTTAACTCCAAACTCAGCAATATTATAGCAATATGAATGCAGCCAGTAACAAAACCTCCCCACAGGGGTACGATAACATGCAGTAAACTAAATTACTGTACTAGACACACAAGCCATTTATCCACCTCATACAAGCTCAGGTAACTACAGATGTATTCTAACTAAGTTACAATACATAATGACTTATGCTGAAGCAGAGATAGGTCCTCCATGCAGATTAACAAGCAAGGCCTTCACAGCACCGCTGGAGAACTCACCAGGCTAAGGTTTGGGTTGTAATTATGGGGAAACTGGCCCTCATCAACTCTTGCTGTTTGTTCCTTACACTGAAAATATAAAAACAATATCAACACATGATGGTGGTGTACCTGCATCCAGTAGATGTCTGTACTGTGGACCAGTCATGGACATGAGTAACTTACAGTATCTTTACTGCAGTGTAATAAATCACTAATCAGCAACGAGTCACGGTGTAGTAAGTGACTAAACTTACTGCAAACAGCCAGTGAGGGGAGACAATAAAGATCCCTTGATCTCTTGCCAAGCGGAACTCTTTGCTCGTATCATTGGCTCTCCCCTGAAAAGAAAAGAGAACAAAAGGATTACTTAAAAACCTAACCTTACAAAATATCTTCATCCATATTCAGCATACTGAGAAATCTACCATTTGGCAACGTCCAGAACAAACAGGTTAAAAAAATATATATCCTGATTACATTTTCTCCACAAAGTATTCCTAACATTACGCAGTCATGCGTAATTATCTCCCTTTAATCTGAATTTGCCTAATTCAAATGTAAATAGAATGATATTGAAGGGGATGTCATTTAGGTCCTGACAGAAGTTTCCAAACATTCAGAGTTATTGGAGGGATGGATGTCTGCCTTTGTCTTCTCAAGTATACAAGAGCCTTACACCAATCAATCACATCACACTTCAGATTGTTGTTGAGCCAGGATTAATGATGGACACTTACAGATTGTGAAACCCTCCTACCCACCTGGAAGATGAAGTGTGTGCAGCTTCCATCCTGCTTCCAGCTGTAGAAGCCACCAAGGTCCTCCACGATGTTGTTGTACTCAGCCTGGTTCAGCAACAGCTTCTTACTGACAGCGATCACCACCCCGTGGAGAGGCCCTTGCATCTCCTGAAGCCAAACCCACAGTAGTCTAACCCTTCACAGTAGATGTACAGAACCTCTTGACTCATGCAGTAGCTCTTTTGTCAATGGTAGAAAAGGCTTGAGTGAGTGAGTGAGTTAATATTTAACGTCAAATCGGCAATATTTCAGCCATATCGTGACAGAAAAGGCTTGAGAATAGAGGGTAACATATCACACCAATTTTTTCTTATATAACATCTTCAACCTGCCCCCGTCAAAGGTGCATGTCATTGATACAGTTGGTTATAGTTTAACTCAGCTATATGGCGGCAGGCTGTAAATACTCAAGTCTGGACCAGACAATCCAGTGATCAACAGCATGAGCATCGATCTACGTAATTGGGATACAATGACGTGTCAACCAAGTCAAGGATGATGACCACACGATCCTATTACTAGTATTAGTTGAATCTTACAATCATGGGTTACTGAAGACCAATTCTAACCTAGATCATCACAAGTATCATTCACACAGAGGGTCCTCAAAGTCATTGTAGAAAGTTTCTGTTATGTAATCAGTTCCCTATAAGCTTGGAACTGCAAGCAGCAAAGTCCTCCAGCTGACTATCTGATCAGGAGCGTTTCCAACACGATATATTCTGCCATACATATATGAACATGTCATACCTCATGTGACATCCTGCCTGAATAAAGTAGTCAACTTCAATAGATGGACTATTTGTGAACACGAACTGCTGGTGCTTGTTTTTTTTCTACAAGGAAATTAGGAATGTCTGTGTAACAATTAGTTCTGGCCACCCACCTCAGAGTGGTGCTCATCTCCCATATCCTGGTCCTCTGTCCTCTTTACAGAGCTATTCTCAACTGCCTTCTTCACATGCTTGAGAAAAAACTCTCCAAGGGGCTGGAATCAATAATCAGTTCACATCTAGTATACATCTGGGTAAATCTTAGAATAAGATATAGTATCTGCAACAGAATTAACCTGAAAAAAGTTACAAGTCTGAATAGTGACACAAAGACAGAGCATAAAAGTTTTGAAAATCTGTGAGTCCTTTGCATAAAATTTTACAAACCTGGAGAGGTTATGAATTCTTTGAAGAAAAGTCCTCCTTGGGGTACATATAAGCATTAAAATGTCCATTTTAAAAGCCTACGACAGTTGTAACAATATTTCAATAAAATATTTTACCAAACAAAAAACTCGTTATTTGTGGTGAGACCACCCCTACAGGGCCCCGTAGAGGGCCCCCTACAGCCAAGAGCAGGTAACTCTGGCTGTGTACCTCATACCTCACTTTTCATGCTGAACGTGTCAGACAGAATGAGGGGAGGTGGGCGGCCGTACCCCAAGGAGGACTTTTCTTCAAAGAATTCATAACCTCTCCAGGTTTGTAAAATTCTTTTTCAGCAGAAGTCCTCCTTGGGGTACATATAAGCATAAGACAGACTCCCAACGATGTTGAGTCGGGAGCGGTATTCTGTCTGCCTAACATACCTCCTAGTTCAGTCGAAGGCACAGCCCGAAGCCGCGACAGAGAGAGAAAGTACACTCACCTAGTCACCTGACCGCTGAAGTCAATCAGGCGGGGGCGTGGCAAGGCGGGGGAAAAGGAGCCTAGCCGATAGGCTATTGGTGGAATTTATAAAGACGGACGCAAGTCCCACCCCCAACCATCAAAATGGGAGGGAAAGTATGGGCGAGTCCAATATATATCCCTCAGCAACCCAAACCAGCGAAGCGTGGTGCAGGGATGAACACAGTGACTGTAGCGAGTGATAATCGCTACATACGGTAAAAACCACCACCAATGTGATACCACCACCGATAAAAATTGAGGAATTTATTAACACCTACACCATGAGAAAAGCAAACGTGATTTCTAAGGCTCATTCGGCTAGAGAATCACGACACTGTCCACTGGTGAGAACTGTCTGGCCAAACCGAGCACGCTCCCGTGAGTGTTTGTCCAGCTGATAGTGGCGGATGAACGTACTCGGTCGGCTCCAGATAGCCGCTGAGCAGATCTCCTCAATGGGCAGTGCCGCGGCGTATGCTTTTGATGTCGCCACTGCCCTAATCGAATGAGCCTTTAAACCCTGAGGGATGGTTAATCCTTTGTAAGAGTAACTTCGAACAAATGGCAGAGACAAGCCACCTAGATATGGTCTGCTTGTTGGCGGAAGACCAGCCTTGCCACCGCCATAACAACAGAACAGCTGCTTATCTTTCCTGGTAGCAGCCGTTCGTTTTGATACAAGCCTTGAGAGTCTTACGGACATCTAAGGCGTGAGCGCCGCAAGAGAGGTACCGGACGATGGAGGCTGAGTGAAAGCTGGCAGTTCGATAGGGCCCGTTATATGAAAGCCTGCGACCTTAGGGACGGTAGGAGTCTGGCAACCGAATACTGACTCTGTCTTTGTGAAAGACAGTCAGAGCAGGATCCGCTGACATCGCATGGATATCACCTACCCGCCTGCCAGACGTTACCGCCACAAGAAAGGCAGCCTTCCAACTTAACAGCTGGAGTGAAAGAGACGACAGATCGTGAAAGAGAGGACCGGACATCCAATCAAGAACGATTGACAAGTCCCACGGGGGACTAATCCGCCGGACAGTCGGACGGATTCTGTCCACGCCTGCTAAAAAGCGCTGTACTAGAGGGTGCTGCCCCAAGAGAGCACCGTCGCCGGCAGGGATATGGAAGGCAGAGATTGCCGTGGAGTAGCCCCGGATAGTAGACGCGGCTAAACCGGCTTCTAACCGAGACTGCAAGAACTCCAGTACTTCAATTACAGTTGAAGAAAAGGGATCAAGAATCCCTCTGCCGACACACCAGCGCGCATAACAGGCCCATCTATCCTCATACTGAACGTTTGTCGAATCCCTCCGCGAAGCCAGAATTGTGTCTGCAACTGGTGCAGGAATTCCGCTCGCGTGGAGGCGATTCCGGACAGAGGCCAGGCCACCCACTGAATCCTGGGATTCGGGTGCGGCGCTCCGTTCTGGGATAGTAAGTCCGGTCGAAAGGGTAATAGTACAGGAGGCTGAGCCAGAAACCTGAGTAGTACCGGAAACCAGCTTTGAGCCGACCAAAGGGGTGCAAGGAGCACAAGAAGTCGAGCTGGTTGGGTGGCAAGCTGCAAGAGGACTTTGGGAATCAGGGGTAGTGGCGGGAACGCCCACAGAACCCTGTCCGTCCAATCGAGCTGGAAAGCGTCTTGGGCGATGGCTCTCGGATCCGGTATCCGAGAGCAAAACACCGGAATCTGGTTCGTCCCCCCAGATGCAAACAGATCCACCTGGAACGACCCGAACAACTGGGAGATAGCCCCGAATATCCCCCGATGGAGCATCCACTCGTGTGGGGCCAGGATACGACGAGAGAGTGCATCTGCTCGAACGTTGTCCGCCCCAGGGAGATAAACAGGCATTACCCGTATGTCGAACTGGTCGCACCAGAGCAGAAACTGCCATGCCTCCTGCAGAAGAGGCGGAAACCGTACCACCCTGCTTCAGGATGTAGGTCATTGCCGTCTGGTTGTCCATCTCGAGACGGACCACACGGCCTTGAACCTGCTCCCGAAGTCGTTTGAACACCAACCTGACTGCTCTCAATTCTAGCACATTGATGTGCAGTTGCGCCTCGCTCTGTGACCACAGGCCTGAGACCGACAGGGCGCCCAGCACGCCCCCCCACCCTGTGAGGGAAGCGTCCGTCTGAATTGAGAGATCTGGCGATGGGATGTCCAAAGGGAGCCCCTGGATAAATTCCCTGCCAGTGTCCACCACCGTAAATGAGGAATTAGCCACCCTGGAGTGTGGAGAATCAACTCGTAACCCTGGGTGTGGACCCACATTCGAGCTAGAGCCTGCTGAATGGGTCGCATCCTCAACCGCGCTCGCCAAACGATGTCCACCGTTGCCGCCATGTTGCCTAGCAACTGGAGCCAAGTCCGAGCTGAGGCCCTGGGGAACTCGAGAAATTGTAACACAACTCTCTGGACTTTGGTGACGCGGTCCGGAGACAGGGAGACTATCCCTCGCGCTGTCTCGAATCTTGCTCCCAAGAACACCAGATCCTGGGTGGGAACCAGTTCTGATTTCTTGAGGTTGATAATCCAGCCCAACTTGGTGAGAATACTCATCACAGAAAGTGTCGCAACTTCGACTCAAGTGAGTGGCAAAGCGCGAAGAGCCAATCGTCTAGGTGCGGGTGACAGCACCTGCCCTGTGACCTGGCTACCTGAGCTGGAATTAGCATGAGTTTGGTGAACACCCGTGGCGCTGTGGAGATGCCGAAGGGGAGTACCCGAAACTGATAGCACCTCCCGTCGAAGGAAAACCTTAGGTATTTCCTGAACTCGGGGTGCATAGGGACATGGAAGTACGCGTCTTTGAGGTCGATTGACGTGAGCCAATCTCCCTTCTCCACAGACGAAATCACCGAACGCAGTGTTTCCATCTTGAAGGACGGTACCTCTAACATGTCGTTGAGACCTTTGAGGTTTAGAATAGGTCTGAACCCTTTGTCCTTTTTGGTGACAAGGAAATAAGTTGAGTAAAAACCCAACATTTCTTGTCCCACAGGAACCACCTCTATGGCTGCCTTGTCCAGCAACGACTGGACCTCGGCACGGAGCACTTCCGCCTTCTCTAGGGCAGCCGGCACTGGAGTGCAACGGATCCCGGAGAAGGGGGGTGGGTCTCGCTTCCACTGTGGCATGTGGCCTTCCCTGAGTGTGGACAGGACCCAGGGATTGGACGTGACTTTTTCCCATTCCGACAGGAAGAGGGAAAGTCGACCACCCACAGGGATATGTGGCATGAGACATTGAATACCTGACTTCGGCAGTACTCCGACTGCTTGGTCTGGTACCAACAAGGGCTCCGGAGGAATTATAGCTGGGAAGCCGGGGCTGACTTCCCCTTCCTCTGAAAAGGCTGGTGGGGCGCCGTGGCGACTGCAAGGGCTCAGCCCATTTAACAGATTCCTTCGCCGCGGCAGAAGGATATGCGGAGGAAACAACCGGGGGCCGCGAGCGAGACATGTGAGGCTGTTCCAGCAAGGGCTTAGAGTCCTTGAAGGTTGAGACATCCTCCGCGGCCTCCCTGACTACTGTAGCTGCCCCGGGGAACAGGGTAGAACCCATCCGGAATGGCAGCGCCAGCAGAGCCTGTTGCGTGGCAGGCGAATACCTCGCCACGGAAAGCCGCCGACATCATTTGGCAAGCCGACGACCTGATAGAATCGCGCGCCAGATGTGACTGTACCTCCGTTAATTGCTTAGCCAAGGTGGAGGGAGACGAATCTTCCTCCACCCCACCCACATCCAGTAGTTGCCTCTGCAACACCGAGATGTAGGCTGAATGGATCGTCACTTTGAGGCATTGAACCGCATTGCGGTATTGCTCTTCAAAGGATCGATAGGCGGATTTAAGAGCTGTAGCGTTAGTCGTGAACGTCGGAAGCCGGCGACCTTGCTTGGCTGAAGCCATAGAATTACCCGATAAACCCCCCAGGGCGACGGATGCGTAAACACAATCGTCAACCACTGGGGGATTGTAAAGGCAAGCCTCCCCCATGAGGTACCGACGGTCAAGTTCTGGCAAATCGAACCTGGACCTGGTACCACAGAGGAGGGGGTTGATTACCTCAGACAAGACTGAGGGTAATATACGCAGCCTTGTGTCCCCCACCTTGGTGGGAGCAAAAGCCTCCCCTGGGAGGCGAAACTCCTGAGGGTCGGGTGCGCCAGTACTGACCACTACCTGGGGCAGGACAGAGGCAATACGCTCCCGTACCTGCCTCAGGGATGCACCGAGCGAAACCAAAGGCGACCCTCATCCTCCTCCATAGCCTCCTCGAATCGATCCTCAGTGAGTGAGGCCTCTGTAATCAGAGAGAGCTCTGAGGGATCATCCGAGGGGTCTACAGAGAGGGACAAAGGCTCGAGCAGAGCCGGGTTGCCCGGCACACCTGACCCAAGACTCGACACTGAGTTGCGGTGGCGTGACGAGGAAGAGCCCGTGCTGGGATTCCTCAATGGTAGGCAAAATGATCAAGGCTCGGGCCGGTAGTAGTTACTACAGCGGAGGGGTGGCCAGCAACCGAGACGAGACTCGGAGCCGACGCACCCCCGACAGAAACCCCCACACCAGAGCCTAAGCTAAGGTTGGGAGCACTGCCCGCCATAGACCCGGAGCACACATCCATACCTGGCCGGACGCCAATCTCCTGACGGAGGCCAGCCATCGCGTCAGCCACTAGAGTGTGGACCGAATCCATCTGCTTCTGCAATATATCAGAAAGTAAATCAATTGTTAGCTGGTTAGAAACATGGACAGGAGGGGGGGAAGGTGCCTGTGATGTGGAGGGGATGGCAGGTGAAGGCGCCGGAGGCCCCGCACCCTTCGCCCGTTTAGGAGCAGCATCCCCCAAAAGAGAGGAAGCCAAAGCCTTCTTTTTCTTTGCTTTTTTATCTTTGTCTTTAGGCGGCTCCTGACCCCAAATGTCCCCCCCCGCCTGAAGTAAGGACGTGTAGAACATGTAATCAGCACGTCTGGACTTGATGGTGCGGGGGGAGAAAGCCTGACACATAGAACAACCTTGTTCGTCATGGGCTTCCTCCGCTAAACAACGTAAGCAAACCAGGTGGCGATCCTGAGGCGACAAACTGCCGCTACAGGTGACACACCCCTTGGGCTGCAAAAAACAGAACCACGCTATGATAATAGCAAGGACTGTACGATATATATAATATAATATGCACACAACAAAACAGAACAAAATACAGCGCCGGGCGATATTTTAACTGTTACAGCAAAGCTATTAAATACTAAGCATAAAGCCATAATAGCGAAAGCGTAATTATGCGTACATAGGTGACAAAGAGCAACATGTGTGAGCGACACGTAAACGCGTCACGAAAACACTCAAGCAAAACTTACCTAAAGCCTGGAAAAAAGAGGAATTTAGGCAAGTATAATCTACAAAATGAAATATCAGCCCCTTTACGACCCGACTACAAGGCTTTTTCTAAAGCCAGGAGAAGGAAAGCAAACGGGAACCCGCGGTCCGCCATCTTGCCTGCCACGTGGCTGGAGACAGCGAACACGCCGGTAAAGTTACAACAAATCATGAATGAAAAAAGTCATACAAAGATTCCAGCTAGCGCCCGGGCGAAAAAAAGGAACCATACATACAGGATTTGACTCTATCTCACTCATCGCTCTCTTATTCGTAGCTTCTTGGACCATGCAATCGACCTACACGGCCGACGACAGCATGAAAAGTGAGGTACGAGGTACACAGCCAGAGTTACCTGCTCTTGGCTGTAGGGGGCCCTCTACGGGGCCCTGTAGGGGTGGTCTCACCACAAATAACGAGTTTTTTGTTTGGTAAAATATTTTATTGAAATATTGTTACAACTGTCGTAGGCTTTTAAAATGGACATTTTAATGCTTATATGTACCCCAAGGAGGACTTCTTCTGAAAAAGAATGGGCTAGCAGCTCATGTGACTACCAGTTTCTATCCCTGAGTCCTGGGACTCACAACAAGGAGTGGTACAGTTACTGATGCAAAACAGATGCAAGTGGCAAGAAAATAGTAATGATCTCACCACACTTGATCTTCGCCTGTGTTTCTGGCTTCCATCGCCTACAGGAGACTGCAGAGATGTGAAAGTATCCTGAAATATGTGATAACTTCAACATGATAACCAAATGTATGCATTGGTATCCTACAAGCTGTGTCTGCAGTGTGGTGAAAGAAAGCGTGTCTCATTGTGCTATTCCTAATGAGAGTACCAGAGGAACAATTAAATAAACACACCATATAACCCCCTTGATATTTGAATAACTAACATACGAAGTTGTGCTGCTGAGGCAAGGTTTCATTGAAGATAAATTTAAAGTACCATTTAGCAATATATTAATGGAGTTAACCTACTTCAGTTATTGGCAGATTTGTTTGATATTGCCAGTTTTTCATCTTCACACAGATACACAATGCCTCCATATACTTTTACCACTGATGTACCTATGATTTTCTTCTGAGCCAGCTAGCAAATACGCCATAAAGGCAAACTGTTGAAAAGCAGCATTGTACTTATTCCTCCTTAAAATGCATCAAAATGACACAAAGTATGACAATCTGGGTAGCTGTCTTTAACAATTTGACAAACTCTTCAGGGAGTCATTGAATGGGGAGCAATAAAAGTAAAATGGATACTCACTGCAATATTGTACTTTGGTACAAATGAAACACCTGAACGGAGAAACTTTCCAGGTGTGTCATTTGCACTCTTTGAAGGTGAAGCAGCCTTTGGTGTTTGAGGTTTGTCAAGATGAAGTTCCTACAACAAAACAGGAGACAAGTTTATCAAGGCACAAATGGAACTTGTAAGTTTCAGGTACTTCTTTTCTCCACAAAATAAGCTTTCAAAATAAGCAATAACAAGCAGTTGTCACTAAGGTGACATAATCCCCCGCTGCAAATTATCAAATCAAAGTTAAAGAGTAATGAAAGTGAAGGTCGTAGTTTAAGATGAAGTTAAATGTCAACAAAAACATGACCAGTGAACCTCTATTGATATCTTGCTCTGCTCTGAAGCTGTTCAAACACACAACTATTTTCAAGACTCATTTTGACCTTGACATGGTGTATGAAATATTCCAAAAATAGTATTAGAGAAATTGCTTATCAAAAAACATTCAAGAGAAGTCTTGAAAATCTATGAAGAAAATCCAGTGAACCATTCTTGAGATATCTTGCTGACAATCTTAACATACCGAAATCTTCAAAGTGTCGCTGTGAAAAGTGTTTGCTTGAAAATCATGTGACAGTCACCAAACTCGACTGGGCCCTGCACCTCCCTATATGAACCCTGGTGTCAAATATGATGAAAATCCAGTGAATGGTTCTTTAGGTATCTCGCTGAGAAGCATGCAGGTTAACATGCGGAAATCTTCAAAGTGTTGCTGTGACCTTGAAAATTATGTGAAGGTCGATAAATCGACTGCGCCTTCCCTATATGAAGCTTGGTGTCAAATATGAAGAAAATCCAGTGATTGGTTTTTGAGATATCTTGCTGACAAGCCCAACATGCAGGCTAACATGCTGAAATCTTCAAAGTGTTGTTGTGACATTGAAAATTACGGGAAGGTCACCAAAATCGACTGGGCCCTGCGCCTTCCCTATATGAAGCTTGGTGGCAAATATGAAGAAAATCCAGTGAACGGTTCTTGAGATATCTTGCTAACGAGCTTAACATGCAGGCTAACATGCTGAAATCTTCAAAGTGTTGTCGTGACCTTGAAAATTATGGGATGGTCACCAATATCGACTGGGCCCTGCGCCTTCCCTATTATAAAGCTTGGTGTCAAACCTGACTGGGACCTTTCTTATACTGTGATGAACCTAGGTACCAAGTATGAAAACAATCCAGTCAATGGTTCTTAAAACATTCCAATTAGGTCGTATGTACTTACAGACATACGGACAGAGCCTAAGACTATAGGCCCCGTTTCGTGTTAAACACGTAACGGGGGATAATCAACTTTCCTTAAGCTGAGTGAAAATATGTTTTTACTCTTTATTCTTAAAACTACATATGTTTGCTTGTCCTGACTCATACTACCGGTATTTGCCTGAATCTGAAGGTAGGTGGAGGGCAGCCACTCAATTTTGAATTCTTATACCTTTCGCATAACCCTCAGGAAATCTTATATCTTGCAGAAATGGGGACCACCATCATTTGGAGAAAAAGAAGTAAATCATAAAGATTTCACAGATTTTGAAGGCTAGCATGAAATATTATTCTTGCTTGTCTTAAGACGATCCATATGTCAAGAATCGGTCTACACTTAACTGAATCGTGTCACTCATGCTCTGAATTACACAGTAAAATAGGAGGGCATGGACTCTCAGTCATTCGTTATGGGGCACTATCCTTTTTTTCTCTGAGACTACATGAATGTTCAAGAATCCAAACTTTCGATATTTGATTTGTAATACCTATACTGTTTGCATCTATTATATTCAATCAGAAATTGTTAAAAATGTTATTTGCTCTAACATGTCTGTTACATTTCTCAGATAGCTTCTCCTTGAAGGTACTGTCAATTGCTAGAATCATCATCCATAAAGGATGTGATGGTGCAGTTGCCATGAAGCCTGGATGCTATGGCTCTTACTTCATTCAGATTGGATGCCATGGATCGAGTCACGCAGCTTGGTAGGCTCAAAGAACTACTGCCCTGATCCAAAATGATATAGCTATTCTAGAAACTTATGTAAAATTGTTGGGCAATAGAGATAAGAATAACCTCTTGAACTCCCTTCTTCTTAAAGCCTCATATTCTATTCAAGTATATAGACTCTGACAGGACAGAGTGATAAATTTTCTGTGTCTTCATATCCCAAGACAGATGTCAGAGCCGGGGTGTGAAATGGTCTTTCTGGTTGTCTACAAAGTTGAATCTTTGCTATGAAATCCCATCTTAATCCCTGATGGACTGAAGCAGCTGATAGCATGAATGTCTGACAGCCTTGCTGCTGTAGCTAATGCCAGGAGTTAGATAACTCGAAGTCTTGTACTTCTCATATGATATAAATATACCGCCACTTAATTACAAGTTGCTTTCCTGACCGTGAAGTGGTCAAAATTCTTTCTTCTATCATCAGAGGGATTTCTAGTAGATCTTCTGAGTGCTTACGTCGTGAATAGATGCAACATTGCTGATACAATTTACTCACTCACTCATTATTCCAGCCATATAGTGACAAGATCAAGTCTGCATTCATAAACATTTTAACTACAAAGTCCAAATGAACAAATGAACCAAAAAATAACATATATATTCATTACAATATTATTTAAAAACAAAATGTCATCGCACCAAATTCAAAAACAAGCAATCCATCGTTCACATTACATGGTTACAATTTATGATAAAGGTCAACTTCCCTCAGGTAGTTAACAATGAGATGCCCGATCACGCAGGAAAACAGATCTTTCAGATTTGTCGCTTCGTAATGTGAATCCGTTGCATTTGAAGTCTGCACAGTCAAGCAGAATATGCTTAATGGTGAACACTTCAATGCAAGAGATACACATAGGAGGTCCATCTCCATCTGTTTTCAGCAAATAGTCATGAGTAAACCGACTGTGGCCAATACGACATCGTCATAAAATTACCTCATCATGTCTTGACTGAAAACACAAGTAGGTATAACCAATTGTTGGCTTCAATTAATGAAGTTCATTTCTTCCTACTTGACTGTCCCACCTATTTTGCATAAGGCCCAGAGTATAACTTTTGATAGTGGGTTTGAAGTCACTATACAGGATCAACAGTGGAGATAACATATCGGCCTGTGTTACCTGCTATATCAACGTGACCCGGCAGCCAGCAGAGGACGATATCACATTGCCCAGCAGAAAGATCGTTGGAAAGTTCTAAAATGCTAAAGACACACCCTTGGCTGCTCTAGCTGAATATCCTCTTATAGTAACTCAGTTCCTGAAGTATTTCATACACGAAGTTCAAAGAGCTCCAGTCTCAAGTGAAGTTGTCTTGAATGAGGACAAAGAAGATTTGGCCAGTTTGGATGAAATGAGGCTGCATGTAGGTCTGGGGTTGCGTTGAGAGTCTCTGATGCATTGCTGATAACACTTGAGAAAGCATAGGTAGCTGCGTGAATAATGAATGATGGCGGTTGTACAATTGTTGGAGTCTTCACGAAAGGTAGATTATCTGCATCAATAATATCCAAAGAAGTGAGGGAGTGAGTGAGTTGGGTTTTATGACGCTTTTAGCAATATTCAAGCAATAGCACAGCAGGGGGACACCAGAAATGGGCTTCACATATTGTACCCAAGTGGGAAATCGAACCCTTGCCTTCGGTGTGATTACAGAATGCTCTAACCACTAGGCTACCTCACCGCCTCTCCTAAGAAGGCTTCAAAGCCTCTGAAGTAACTCATGCAGATGGTTTAAATTTCCTCTATACTGTCTTCTTCAACTTCGCTAATTTCTGTTGATTATTTTTCTTATTTCGTACGACATTCATAACTGCCTCAATAGCCCTATGAAGGTCCTGTGAACCCTCTACTGACTGAAAAGAATCCATATCAATAGAGTGACTTAGTTTAGTTTTACGCTGCACTCAGCAATATTCCAGCTATATGGCGACAGTCTGTAAATAATCGAGTCTGGACCAGGCAATCCAGTGATCAACAGCATGAGCATCGATCTGCACAATTGGGAACCGATGACATGTGTCAACCAAGTCAGTGAGCCGTACCATCCGATCCCGTTAGTCGCCTCTTACAGACAAGCATGGGTTACTGAAGATCAATTCTAACCCGGACCTTCACGGGTACCATATCAATAGAATGAACATTAATATCTTTCTCAGAGGAATGTCCCAGTCTGATATTTCTTAGACTACAAATACAACAGAACTTTATGAAGAAAACCTAGGTCATAATTCAGATGAAAATTAACTGAATTTAACCTGTACAATTTTGATAGGATGACTTTATTAGAAACACAGAATATTTGTCCACAACCATCTTGTTGATGTTTCACTCGCTGGTCATGTGTGAGGCCAGTGTGCATGCGCATGGAGGAGTGTATTTGGGTGAGATGTTTATTGTGTTCTTGGAGAACATAACCTAGATTATTTTCACTATATGTTGGGTTAAGGGAGAGAGAAACAAACAGTCAGGATACGGAAACATAAGTAACTTATCCAAATTCACATGGTCACAAACAGAAAAAGACAAGATGTGAAACCCCTGAAGTTAGACTTGGTAAAAGATGACTAACAGGAGTGAGTGGTCAGACTTCCTGAGCTGGTGGATGCACGTCATCAATATCAGTTGTGTGCATTGATATTTATGAAGTCAATCAGTGGACTCCTGTCACACAGCTGGAATACTGCTGAGTGTGGCATAAAACAACAATCAAAACAAACAAAACAAACAAACAAACCTTAACTCGACTATGCTGAGGTCTGTTTGTGATATCGCTTGGTTCCAATGATATATTTTCTTTCTGGCTGAGACTTTCCTTCAAAGCGATCTCCTCCATCAGTGACTTGGCCCCAGACATCGGGTCCATCACATTAGGCCGACTCTGAGACTCCTCAGCAGATGATGTTGGTATCACTGCATCAGGAGGCCTGACTGCGACAGGAGTCACTTTCTCTAGTGTGGATGCCTTTGGGTCCATCACATTAGGCCTACCCTGAGCTTCCTCAGCAGATAATGTTGGTGTTACTGCATCAGGAGGCCTGACTGCGACAGGAGTCACTTTCTCTAGTGTGGATGCCTTTGGGTCCATCACATTAGGCCTACCCTGAGCTTCCTCAGCAGATAATGTTGGTGTTACTGCGTTAGGAGGTTTGACTGCGACAGGAGTCACTTTCTCTAGTGTGGACGTCTTTGAGTCTTTACAGGTGATGTTGTTATTGTTTGAGTTAGTGTCTGGTTGATTATCACAGTGTTTTGAGGCTGGCTCGTGCTCTGGAATGTTGGGCACTGACTCTGGGCCTGACTTCAGAGCAGCGACTTTATCGATAGTGTAGTCAGCTTCTGGCTCCCTCTTCCCAGACCTTGCACAGGCAAACAGCCAACTGTAATGACATAAAATAATTGAGTATTGTCATAAACCTGAAAAGGAAGTGAGCAAAGTCAGAAATTTACTTCGGTCTATCTATGTTTGAGTCTGGTGACCGTCAGTATGAAAGTTGGGGGTCTCAGGCATGAATATCGGGGTCAAGAAAAGCAACATGTTGTTTCACATGATTTTAAGGAACAGCATCATATGACAAACTCAGATTAATGTAACAGACATAAGATTATAACACCCTGGACATGTAGTTCAATGAGATTAATAAATATCATGTTCAAAAAATACCACACATATTTACATCCAACAGGGGACCCTTGGAATATCTCTGAGTATGCAAAAGGCCATGATATTTGAACATAAAACATTGATGTCAAGTCATAAAAATCCATATCAGTTATAGTTCAGTATATCCGTATTATGATTTACATCCGTTGATTCAGAGAGGAGTGATAATATTACAGTTTGTGCAACAAAGTGTAGCCATCAGAAGGTCATCTGTCGGTTTGCTGTTTTGCCGACCTTAAGCAACATCAAGTGTAAGGAATAACATGAAACATGGGGGAAAACTGATTTGTATGGATAGTCAACTTCTTTATTGCAATGAGTGCGACGTTTCGGTGTAGGTACTAACACCGTTATGCTTCATAACGGTGTTAGTACGTACACCGAAACGTCGCACTCATTGCAATAAAGAAGTTGACTATCCATATAAATCAGTTTTCCTTCATCTTCACAACTTCTAAAATGCCTCTCAAAGAAAAAATGAAAAATGGGGTCAAACACAATTTGCATAGATCTCCTGCATAATAAGAGACGCTTACCACAGTAAAGGGTTTAATGGGAAATCAATGAGTGACTTGCAATATCATACAGAGTAAGGGTATTAAGCCTGTTAACAGTGCAGCAAAAAGTCTTCAAATCTGGATGCAAAATCCTGTTGTACCCTTCATACATATCTAACAAGGCATCCACCAGGGAACATGGTTGCAGAATTGTCTAAGCTGCAACAAATCACGATGCAGAGTTACATCCCTTAGGCACGCCTGATAAGTATCATCTTCAGCTTGAGACCCTGTTTACCCACTAAAGTGTTCCTAAGTTTGTCAGCACCAAACCATGCTTATGGGTTTTACTAAAGATTTCACTGAAAATCTTAAACTTGCACCAATTTAGGGTTTTCCTTTCACATCAAGCTTACATGCTGTGATGTACCTGCAATGCTGTTGAAAGTGGTGTACAACCAATTCATTCCAATCTACCAACCTAGAACTTACAGTTTTGAAACTGCAGGTAATTTCCACTTCTTGGCTGCTTCATACTTGGTGCCTGAGGCTTCCTTCACCAGCAGGTGTGTGCTGGCCAGGAGGCCTTTGTTGGCTCGTCGGACAAAGTATTCCTGACAACTGCAACAGATTTAAGTATCACCACCAGTTCACTGGAAATCCATACAAATATTGATGTGATAATTGAGTACCATTGTTGCCAAAGTAACAAAATTAACATGAAAAGCTGGTGAATTTAGAACACCTACCTTGCACCAATTATCATAGCTATATGCATGAGACAGTCCCTCTCTGTTCCACTGAAACCACTGAAACAAAGAAAAACATTCACCATTTAACAAGTTTTGTAAAACTCCCACGCTCTTGTCATTACCTCACATGAAAAATGAAACATAAAGTGGGTCTACCAATGATAGTAGTAATGGACATTCATATATTTCTTACAAAGTCACATTAGACTATTTATGCCTGGATTAACTCCTGGCTTCTATGTGTTCACTGCCATTACCTTTCAGCACCAATGAACTACTGGCTTCCCTTGTTAAGTGCCCACAATAATCATTTTATTACTGTTGTTGGTCTACATCTATTGCTATCTGCTTGGTAGTTTTCTAAATCAGATGAAGGAGTAAAAATATTACTCCAAAACATTGTGTCCCTCACATTACTGGAGTCAACATCCATACATTTTCACAGTCATTATGTGATTCAAAGACCAGATAAAAGGTCCCCAGAAATGTTGCTGGATGTTGTTGGAAAGGATGCTGACATTCCCACCTGATAGACAGCACACAACCTTCCAAGGGCTTCAGCTCATCGATGTTGCTGATCATATCTATAGGGAGAAACAGCTGATTCTGCTGCACAGGTAGTAGTTTCTCTTCCTCAATACACATTTGCTGCAAACACAAGAATAATGTTAAATCTCAAAACAAAACCTAATATTTATTAGCATGAAGAAAAGAGGTGCAGTTGTGTTATCCTGAAATATGACTCAAATCATTTTGAGAGTTATACATGTACCTCATTTACAGAGGAGAAAACTCTCTGCCAAAAGTAAGGTAGGACCTTGATGTTTTCTGCTTTAGAACTTGGATCTTGGAAACCGCATCTCTTTCGAACACTGATATCTCTACTCAGAAAAGTCAGAAGAAGTTGCAGAATGTCTCTTACCAGCCATACATTGGTGAGAACTTCATTGACAGTGATGGACACGGGATAACCGTCAATGGGCACGATGCCATAGTCTGCAACAACACGGTGGTTCTCACCAACAACTCTGCCTGAAACAAAAACAAAACCTGATATGATCGCTATGAAACTCCTGTCTTCAGTTAATTCTTACTGTTCACTTAATTCCTGGTACACTCTTGACAAAACCACCACATGGAAACATCAAGACAAGGTGGACTGAGCAACCTATATTACGTGTACACCATAGGCTGTTCTGATGTATGATCAGCATTCAACCAGTGAATCTACTTCCCTGAACATTTGGCATACCTCCTCTCTCTTTAATGTAGTTGCCAAGTTCACTGATCTGCTCCTCGTCAAATCCGAAGAAGACAATGGTTTTCTTGTAGAATATCCCCTTGTCCCCATCCTGTGTGTGCTGGGTCCCTCCATCAACCTCATCATAATCTAGGAAGGAGAAACACCAACATGATCTATACAGGTCAGTCAGTACTGGAAACAGCATGGACTTACAGCATTTACCTTGACATGTTGACATGGAGTTATAGCATTTACCTGGACAAGAATCTGCATTCCACATAAATCAATATTGGGTGAACAAAATGGGAAATGCTACTGACGTCTGAAGTGAACTACTGCTAATTCAGAAATATTACATATATAAAAATTAACTCAAAAATACCTATTTCATTTTATAACTCAGCATATTGGAGCAAAGTTGTTTCGGTCAAAGATTGTAGCAAAGTCATCAGGCAATTTTACGCAATCACAAACATTGACTTTTGATATGTGTTTTTATTATTCAACTAACAGATGATCTTAATTCAAATTGAGTTCTAATTTAAGTGACTACTACTTGACAACTCACTATTGCCTGTAATTGTTTCATCCCCTTTGCCAGCTTCAACAGTTGTTTCCTTCTCTGTAGATAAACAAAACATTAGAACAACCATACAACATACTTGCATCTAAAATATCACCAAACAAGAAGAGATGGTCATCAATATGCCCCGCCACTGTGTTCTGTTCCTATATTGGCAACTACTCATTCTTTCTACAAATAGAGATACATAAGCAGTTAAGTAAGAACATCTGTTCCCATTAGGGATACCATGCACTAAGTCAAGAAACAAATGACGAGGGCCATAACTCTGTAAAGAATTGTAACACGATTTCTGTTTTTGAAATCCATCAAGGCATTCATGTCCTGAAAACACATACAAATTTGGCTTAACTATCTATAACGTCTTTTGAGAAAATCTGTCCCCATCATCTTGGACAGATGGGCAGGAAGACAAAATCTACCTTGAGGGAGATACTGGCTGAGGATATCATCCATATCTTTCTGATCAGCTGGATTCTGTGTTGCATCAGCATCAGCTGGTTTAGGTGCTGCAGCTGTTTTGGATGACTTCCTTCTTCTGTAATGTAAAAAAAAATTCTTCACATGTAACCATTTTCTGCACTCAGCAAGACAATGTATTCATTAAAACAATTGATATTTGTGATATAAGTGCTATTTGATTAATATAATAAAGTGATATTTCAAATTGAAAGATATACTGCAAAACAAAACAACAGAATCCTCAGTTATCACAAGAATTGAAAGCAATTTTGTCTACAACCATGATGTGAAGCTGTCATGTATTTCCGATGTTGGGGGTGGATGGTCCTGGATTCCAACAGACAACAATAAATCCGCCATACGTTTTTAATCCGCCATGATCTTATTACATCATCACACGCCTTGATGATGTCACTTGCTACGTCATCATTTTTGGGGATGTACTATTTACTTAACAAATATCACACAAATCATAAAGTCTTTCTTCCATGTATACGTCTATTTACTATATACTCCAAACATTGTAGAGAGGCTGTCAATCAGTAGTTTTATTACATCAAATACCTTGAATGAAAATGTATTTGCCAATTTCCTATACTTGTTAGTATGTACTTTGAAATCCTTTGAAATGAAACACATTTTAGCAAAACAAAACCATCACCAGAGGACAAGATATGTTTCTGCCATATTTTAAAAATGCACTCAACTCAACATGAGTTGAGATAACCAAACTGTGCTTACCCTTTCATTTTAGGTGATGTTGGATCAAGGGCAGGTAACTCCAGACACAGATACGGCTCCACATCCACAGTCTTCTCCTTCTTGTAACACTCTACCAGCCAGGCTGCTGACACTACGTGGGGTCTGTTCCAACACATCCACACCACCACATCATTCAATGATACACCTTGTGTTATATTCCTTACCAGTTCTCCTTACTCAGACAAAAGCATGTTATACATGTTATACATTGAAGCAAATAAAGTAGGGATTCAAAGATATTTTTTAGAGAACAAATATATATTTTCTTGAGTTGAGTGTCCAAGCACGTACCTGAGATCACTATTTTTGATCATGTCAATATCTGACTGGATCTTCTCTCCCATCAGAACATGGGTAACACTCTCGTTGATTGTGTTGAATCTGTGGGAAATGGTCAGTGTATCACACGTATTTCCATAGATGATGAGTGGTTATAAAGAAACTTTGTTCACTCCAAATCAATTAACAAACTACAGACACTATCTCACCAATAGATTTTAAAATAGTGTTTCTCACTTCTGTCACAATCCTTAATAGAAAAAAATTTTACCAGTAGCTCAACCTATTTGTAACAAAGTCATTTTGGCCCAAATACAAATAAGTAACTGTTAACCTGTTAGCTTGGGTACATTAAATTATCATCTAAAACAGTTCATTTATATTGTGCCTTTTCCTTCCAATGCAAAGATTACTTTCATTGCTATATATCAACATGGTTTTAGAGGCTATGAGCCAAAATCCGAAAGAATGTGTGGCTCAAGAACATGTTACAAATACCTGGTTGCCCCTCCTGCGTTGATTATCTTCCGCAACTTCTCAAGATTGGAGCCACGGAATCCGCTGAGGTAGAACTGCAAGATTCATTCAAGAACAATATGTGAGTGAGTGAGTGAGTGAGTTAGTGAGTGAGAGTGTATGGTTTTATGCCACTTTTAGCAATATTCCAGCAATATCATGGCGGGGGACACCAGAAATGGGCTTCGCACGTTGTACCCAGGTGGGGAATTGAACCACTAGGCTACCCCACCTGCCCCTGTAGTTTTAGTGCTTGACATTCAAAAAGTAAACCTGTTCTGTTCTTCAAACACTGATTAGAAAGTGTCTGAAATATGGAACATACAGATGTCACTATCATAAAATGACTACATTTGGAGCTGCCCCATATCAGTCCTGAATGGCATAATTCACTGTGCTGGTGTCAACTAAATATTGACAAACTCTTCAAATGACATCACCAGACAAGCAAATACATCTGCCTCAGGTTGTCAGAGACAACTTTAATACTTAGCAAATCTTATGTGTAATAAAACCACCAATTTTGGTAAATAATTTAGACAAGTAGACTTTTCCTGACAAATTAATTTTAGTTTAGTTGTCAATGGTCACGTAACTTTTCTATTTACACACTCAATAGTTTATTTTTCTCATGTACCTTACAACCATCTAGGAAGACATCCCCTGGTATGTGAGTGACATCCAGGGACTCCAGAGGGTCTTCTGTCACATGAGTCCTCTGTAAGGCGGCCGTAGTTTCATTGATCCCAGTTATAACAGATAAATTGCTTATGGAACTGATGTCACCAAGGTGGGTTGCATGGACTGAAAATAGACATGCAGCTGAGTACATATTAAACAAATCACTTGGAAAATGAACATCTTATTGACTTCTAAGCCTTCAGATCATAATCACAAACATTTTATCATGATTCAAATTTTGGGTTTAACACCACTTTGCATAGTATTCCAGTAATATCAAAAATGCCAGTTTGATGTGGAAAGAAAGTGATGCTGGTCCCAGGTGTTTACAAATTTGGTGAAACAAACAAACAGAGGCATGGTGCAACTTGAGCCCTCCACTCTGGATGAAACACTGCACCACTAATTTCAGTGCCTCTATCCCTTTTCAATGATTTTACATCTATATTAACATGGTGACTTAACGGCTCGATGGTCCATTTACAAAGAGTGTGAATGGCGTTTGTTTTCCAGAACTCACTGGTAGATCTCTCCCTGTCTGGCGTCGATGTCTTGTGTTGACCTGTTGTGTTCAGATTCTTCTCCACTCTATAGTCTGTCTCATCCAGGCAGTACCCTTTCTCCACCGAGTCGTACAACCAGCGTGGCCTGACTATATGTATCTTCCACTTTGAGGCATGCTCGTATTTCTGTCCTGGATCACATACAACATGTACAGTCTGGAATACATTCTAACATATCTTTTATTTTTTAACTTAAATGATATCAATATCAAATCGTGATAATTTGCTATATCACAAACTTTTTCTTTTTTCATAATTTACATTACTTTATAACACCATGATAGCAGTAAAACTATTTTACAAGTAGGAGATAAATGCCATCAGTTCCAAATAAATTTGCAATAAATGGCCAACACATGATGTTTATCAACATTGTTTCACGTTTTTGTGTCTGCACTCATTTTTTCATCTCCCATGGTAGCATCTGGAATCAACTTTATGCCACAATATGATTTGAATACGTCACCACTGCTGACAACAATAATACATCGTATTAATATGCAGTGAATGGTCTTGAAATTTCCGGGAATCGAATACCATTCGATCATGTTTTTCAACAAATCAGATTAAAGAACACAGTGACTTTTGGTTTACAATGAATATTTTATGCATGCTTCAACACAACATTTACCACTTTGGTAAAACCCATGGGTATGATGTCGACAAACTTTGAGACATAATCAGGACAAACCGGGATTGAACCCACAATCATAGCTTTCTGAAGTGCCCATGGGACTCAACTCTGCATAGCAAATTGTAGAACCTTGAGCGACTGGGCTGCCTGTGGCCCCTGCCACCCACCCATTCTTCACAAGATGTCACTAGTAAGAATATCTACGGCAATGAATCTATGAAATGATGGAACACACTTCACCTTTAGCTTCCTTGACAATAAGATGTGTACATTCCTTCATCTTCATCTCCCCGGTGTATTTTCCCCCTGTAAATATAACACGACTTCACAATTTTTCTACAAAAAATATTTATAGAAGCAGTCACCATACTCTCATGGTGGATGTAATTGATGACTACAAAACTATTTGACAACTGTAGAAGTATCTACACCAAAATGTTGCCAAAATAGTAATAAAACAAGAAGACAAAGTCATCAATATCCCCCGCAATGGCAAAATACTCTTGATGATTATGTCTACGAGTTATGATTATGTCAAATATTTAGGTGTGCATATAGAAAAGTGGAAGGAGAGTATTGAAAGGTTTTGAAAGTTCTGCGCCAGAAAGGAGCACTATCACCAATTTCAGTCTAAGTCGAACTTGTTGCCATGGAAACGCCAAAAATATTTTATTCAGAATTCCAAAACTACCAAAAGGCACCAGTTCACCACCAGATCTATCTATGTGCCAAGGTTGGTGAAGAAATATTGAACGTTTCAGAGTTCTGCTCCGGAAAAGAGCACTACCACCAATTTCAGTCAAAGTCGAACTTGTTGCCATGGAAACGCCAAAAATATTTTACTCAGAATTCCAAAACTACCAAAAGGCACCAGTACACCACCAGATCTATCTATGTGCCAAGTTTGGTGATGAAATAGTGAACGGTTTGAGAGTTGTGCTCCGGAAAAGAGCACTACCACCAATTTCAGTCAGTCGAACTTGTTGCCATGGAAACGCCAAAAATATTTTATTCAGAATTCCAAAACTACCAAAAGGCACCAGTACACCACCAGATCCATGTATGTGTCAAGTTTGGTGAAGAAATATTGAACGGTTTTAGAGTTCTGCTCCGGAAAAGACAAATGTGCACGGACGGACGGACTCCATTTTAATACCCCCCGCAAAACGCGTTGCGGGGGATAAAAAGTTTATATCCACTCACAGTCACTGTGTCAACATTGTCATCAGTGAACTAAAACAAGGCAATCAAACAACTGAACAACAATATTTCATGACCTTTTTGAAACCATATCTTCTTTTGACACAGATGGGAAAGTTAACACTTTACAGATGTGGATCAGGAATCCCTGTTATCAGATCATACTCTCAAACACACAATACTAAGGCTTTCAGTGACAACATGAAGGTACAGACTCATATAGGTATTCCATAGCTGCAATATTTATGTAAATGACATCATTATCCCAAACAAGAAACTAACCCTCTGCCTCGATTGTTTTCTTTACTTCTTTCCTCTCATCTTGGTCCAACCCTGAGACTGTGACAACAAGGCCACTGAATATAGGACATCGGTACTTCTGGAACTGGTCATCAGTAGCATGAACATGTCTGAAACAAAACAGCAAGATTCAGTTAGCATCTCTGTAACTATGACAGCATCACCTTCTTATCATCACACAATGGCACTGCATATTCATATGAACAGAGCAAAGTTGTACATGTATACGTTGCACTCAAACAATGCTTACATATTTATGATGATGTTTCCATATGGAAAATGACAATGTTTCCATTTTTTTTAAATAGACCAATTGGTGAGTGAAATATATCTCAAAACTCCATGGTTTGATAATAATCTGTTAACAAGACTGCAAATCAATGTCACATTTGACTGCAGTGGTGGCAGAATGATGAAGAATGCTAAACTATTTCCTGAAGTTTCCCTACATCACAGTTCATTGTGCCAAATAAAATACAAGAATACTGGTAAATAAAGAGCAATATTAATTTATGATATTATTCTTATATTACTATGTACCAAAGTTCCCCAGCCATTGTTTGCTACATATGTTCATGTTGTGTCATTCATGACATCATCAACTGTTCTCATTTACTCAAACAACAAAATGTCAACAAAGCAACAGTATCCTCAATGACATGAAGAAGTGAGCAACACAAACCTGTACTTGGCCTTTTCCCAGACAGCAGTCACCCACTTAGGCATCATGATGTGCTTGCCCAAACTGCCAGCCACCTGAGGTGGAACAAACAAACAACCATGGAATGAATCTTTCACTTGTGTGAAGTGTCATAACTTACTGACTAATTACCCATGCATTTGCCATGTGTTACCACTGAAACTGAAAGATCTGAAGATCTGTGACCGTAGTTGACATATCACACCTCAGCAAAACCTCACCAAATTTCATCTGGCAGAAACACCAACTTATGAACAAATTGTGTAATAAATATTCAAACAAACCTGCAGAGGTTTCTGATTTTTGAAAAGAGTCCTCCTTGGGGTACTTATAAGCATTAATATGTCCATTTTAAATTTAAATCCTATGACAGTTGTAACTATATTTTTCAATAAAATATTTATAAAACAAAAAACTCGTTTTTGTCTTGTTCTGCCACCCATACAGGGCCCCTGGGGCCCTAACAATCAAGAGCAGGTAACTCTAAGCATAAACCTCGTACCTCACTTTTCATACTGAGCGTAATCAGACAGAATGAGGGGAAGTGGGCAGCCCTATCCCAAGGAGGACTCTTTTCAAAGAATGAGAAACCTCTGCCAATTTGTTTGATTCTTTTCAAAAGAGATCTTCCTTGGGGTACTTATAAGCATAAGACAGACTCCCACAGACAGAAAGTCATGAGTAGTATTCTGTCTGGCATACTAAACCCCACGCTAAGCGGAATTTCCCAATCAACGGAGAGAGAGAAAACACACCTACCCTGACACCTGACCGGTGCTGTCAATCAGGCTGGGGCATGGCTAGGGAAAGGGACAGCAGCTGCCAAGCTTATTAGCCCGATAGGCTGAGAACACATCAGAAAACCCCGCCTCCCAACCAAAGAATTTGGGTGTGGGCAGTTATTGACATGTTACCTAGTCCAGCTACAAACACAGTAAGCTAGGCATACTGATGGTGAGTAGAAAGGGAACGTTATAAAATCGCTAAAGGCGAACTGGTTAAAAAAACATCACCAATACCATCACCAAGGGATAGAGTGATAAAAAACAACCTCACCAAATGGAAATAATGCAAAAGTAGACTTGAAAGCTCAATCAGCTAGAGAGTCACGACCCTGCCCATTGGTGAGAACCGCTTGACCGAACCGAGCACGCTCTGAAGAGTGCTTGTCGAGTTGGTAATGTCGGATAAACGTGCTCGGACAGCTCCAAATAGCTGCAGAGCAGATCTCAATAGGCAGGGCCACAGAATACACCTTGGTGGTGGCCACTGCCCTAACCGAATGAGCTTTAAAACCTTCTGGGGGAGTTAAGCCTTTATGAACATAACCCATACAAAAGGCAGAGACAAGCCACCTAGAAATGGTCTGCTTGTTCACCAGAAGGCCAGCCTTACCACCGCCATAACAGCAGAACAGTAGTTTATCCTTACGGATAGACGCTGTTCGTTTGATATAAGCCGTAAGAGTCTGACGGACATCTAAGACGTGAGCACGTCGAAGTGAGGTTACATGAAAGGAGCCTGCAATCTTTGGATGATAAGAGTCTGGCAAGCGAATACTAATCCTGTCTTTATGAAACATGGTGAGTTCAGGATCCGCTGACATTGCGTGAATGTCGCCGACCCTCCTGCCGGACGTTACCACCACAAGAAAGGCTGCCTTCCAACTTAACAACTGGAGTGAAAGAGACGACAGATCGTTAAACAGAGGACCGGACATCAATCAAGAATGATTGACAAATCCCACGGACAGTCACACGGATTCTGTCCTCACCAGCTAAAAAGCGCTGCACCAAAGGGTGATGCCCCAAGAGAACACAGTCGGGGGGTATGTGGAAGGCAGAGATTGCCGTGAAGTAGCCTCGGATTGTAGACTTGGTTAGACCGACATCCAACCAAGTAAAAATTCCGACTAGATTCGAAGAAAAGGGATCAAGAATCCCTGTTTCCACACCAGCTCGCATCTATCCTCATATTGAACAGTTGTCGAATCCCTCTGCGAAGCCAGAATTGTGTATGCAACTGATGCAGAAATTCCTCTCGCTTGGAGGCGATTCCTGACAGTGACCAGTCCACCCATTGAATCCTGGGATTCGGGTGCGGCGCTCTGTTCTGGGATAGCAGGTCCGGTCGAAAGGGTAATAGTACAGGAGGCTGAACCAGAAACCTGAGAATCACTGGAAACCAGCGTTGAGACAACCAAAGAGGTGCAAGGAGCACTGGTAGTCGCGCTGGTTGGGTCGTTAGCTGCAAGTGAACCGAGTATCAGGGGTACTGGTGGGAACGCTCACAGTACCCTGCCCGTCCAGTCGAGCTGGAAGGCGCCGGAGGCAACATTGCCCTCAGATCCGGTATCCGTAAGCAAAACACTGGTATCTGATTCGTCGCTCCAGAGGCAAACAGATCCACCCGAAACGCCCCGAACAACCGGCAGAAAATCCCGAATATCCCCTGATCGGGCATCCACTCGTGGGGAGCTAGTATACGCCGTGAGGGTGCATCTGCATGAACGTTGTCTACCCCCGGGAGATAAACAGGCATCACCCGAACGCTGAACTGGTCGCACCACAGCAGAAACTGCCACGCCTCCTGAAGGAGAGTCGGTGACACCGTACCACCCTGTTTCAGAATGTAGGTCATCGCTGTCTGGTTGTCCATTTCTAGACGAACAACCCGGCTTCGAACCTGTTCCACGAAGCGTTCGAACACCATCCGGACTCCTCTCAATTCTAACACATTGATGTGCAGGCTCACCTCCGACCAAAGGCCCGATACTGTGAGGTCGCCTAAAACGCCCCCCATCCTGTGAGGGAAGCGTTCGTCTGAATTGAGACTGTCGGCGTCAGGATCTCCAGAGGGATCCCTCAGGATAAGTGCCCGATGTCAAGAGACCCAGATAAGCTGTGTATCCGGGTAAAATATGCATAGAAAATTTCCAATTACGCATTGAAAAATAATTGTTGCGTACCAAAAATGTTAGATACGCAAAAAGTTTAAAACAAATGCGTACGGAATATATTTATAAAGATCGCTTGCGTAATGGAAAAGACATTGATTGCTATCAAGTTGTACTGTTAGTATAGGATGAGTGATTTTTTTATGAAATCATTTCCATTATATTTAAATTGGTTTTGATTAGGTATGACATAAGGCAGGACATACCTGCTTAGTAAACTTACTCGATGACATAATACTTAGGTGAGTAAAATGACTGAAATACGCACATATTTGAAAGCAGTGGGTAACGGAAAATGAAATACCCACTCAACATTCATAATACCCACTCCAAAAAAATACAGTGCGTACAGTACCCACATGAGCTTAATCTTATCTGGAGCTCTGCGATGTCTGTCCACCACCCCTGCCTCTACCGATGAGATCACTGAGCGTAGTGTCTCCATCTTGAAAGACAGTACCTTGATCATATTGTTCAGACCTTTGAGATTTAGAATAGGTCTAAACCCTCTGTCCTTTTTGGTAACCAGGTAATAAGTCGAGTAATAACCCGCTTCTTCCTGTCCCGCTGAGATCACCTTGATGGCTGCCTTGTCCAGTAATGACTGGACCTCGGCACGGGGTATCTCTGCCTTCTCCTGAGAAGTCTGCACTAGAGTACAACGGTGAAGACTGGAGGGTCACGCTTCCACTGTGGCAGATAGCCATCCCTGAGTGTGGACAGGACCCAGGGATTTGATGTGGCTTTTTCCCATTCTGGAAGAAATAGGGAAAGCAAGCCACCTACAGGGACACCAAGCAAAAGATAATGAATGCCAGTGGTAGGGCATGTGTCCAGTCCTTGTGATGGTTCTGTTAAGGGCACCCAAGGAATTAAGACTTTCCCTTCCTCGGAAAAGGCTGCTTGCCCTTACCCTTGCCCCGGTGTGACTGAAGGGGAGCAGACCACTTGTGAGTCTCCTTCCCTGAAGAGGGAGGGTAAGAGCGGGAAGGCTGCTCTAGTAAGGGCTTAGAGTCCTTAAATGTAGGGATGGCCTCCGCGGCCTCCTGAACAACTGTAATTGCGCCAGGGAACAGGGTAGACCCCGACCTGAATGGCACTGCCAGTAAAGCTTGTTGTGTGGCAGGGGAATACCGGGCTACAGAAAGCCACAAATGGCGGAGGCCCATTACCACACTCATCATCTGACAGGCGCAACTCCTGATGGCATCGCGCTTCAGATGGGATTGCACCTCCGTAAGTTGCTGTGCTGTCATCCCTGCCCTGTTCAATGTCAACGAGCTGCTTTTGGAGTTCCAACAACCCCTCCTCCCCCAACAGGTAGCGCCAGTTCAACTCGGGTAAGTCGAACCGCGTACCCAGAAGGTGAGGGTTAATAACCTCGCTAATAAGGGAGGGCAACATGCGAAGGTGAGTCTCTGCGACTCTACTTGGAGCGAACTTGGCCCGAGAAGTCGGGGCCGTCCGAGGGGACGACCACCTGCGGCAGAACAGCTGCAATGCGACCTCACACAACTCAAGCGAAAAAGATTCTTGCCCTGGTGCCTCCCTACCCTCATCATCCTCCATTGACTCCTCGTCCCTATCCTCAAGAGCTGAACTCTGTGGCCAGAGATGGCTCTGAGGTGGGAACTGAGGGAGTTAAGGAGAGAGATAAAGGGTCGAGAAGAGCGAGGGAGCCAAGGCACCGAGAGCTTGAGACGTGTCCTGCAACAAAAGGTTGTCACGGGAGCCCGGAAGACGCTACAGGAGCTGAAGACACCAAGACCCGTGCCGACTGCCCCATAGCCGGAACCAAAGCCATATGGCACGTACCCAGGCTGGCGACAGAACCAGAGCAAGAACGACAGCATGAAAAGTGAGGTACGAGTTTTACGCTTAGAGTTACCTGCTCTTGACTGTTGGGGCCCCAAGGGGTGCTGTATGGGTGGCTGAACAAGACAAAAACGAGTTTTTTGTTTTGTAAATATTTTATTGAAAAATATAGTTACAACTGCCGTAGGATTTTAAAATGGACATTTTAATGCTTATAGTGAGTGAGTTAGTGAGTTGAGTTTTACACAGCACACAGCAATATTCAAGCTATATGGCGGTGGTTAATGCTTATAAGTACCCCAAGGAGGATCTCTTTTGAAAAAGAATAACTTATGTGGTAGTAAATATACTTTAAATGCATGTAACATTGATTTCATCACTATCTGAAAGCATCTTTTTATATAGTTTTGGCAATGGGCATGGTTCTGTTTTGGCAGAATGGTGATGCTTTAGCTATAAGCATCTCTTGTAACCTAATACATCCACTGTCCTGTAGGTGTCACTGCAACTCACCTCCAACACCAGCTAGACCCTGTGCTTGCCTAAGTCCCAGACTAGTATCATTTGTCTACTAACATGAATACTATAACAACATATTAACCAGGCTAACTGGTAAGAACATGACAAGAAAGTGGAAGAAAGGTGACTCACGACATATTTCTTGCTGCCAACTTCCCCAGCAATGAGGTGTGTGACTGCATCAGTGAAGTCCTTGCTCACTTCGCCTGCCATATATTCAATCTGCTTGTGGATTTTCTCCTGTGGAGCAAGAAATACAAAACGTTTCGTTTAGCTTATTATCTCATTTCATCTCATTTGTTCATTGCTACACTGAGATAATAAAGTGCTAGATTTATACATTATGTCAACATTCACCATATTATTTAAAGAATGTGACCTTGAAAAACATTTGATGGTATAGATTATTTAGAGCCTCAAATATATGGAGAAATTTAGTGAAACGAGATAACATTTCCCACAAGGAAATGTGATTACATTTCACAATTTATCCAGCATCCAGGCTTATCTCCGTAACATGTAAACATTCAAGTCCATACTAACCAGTGGTTGATATGATGAACAATGTTCCACACTGTCGGGGATGATGATATGCATGTAATTAAGAAATGTCACCTCATTATTTACAAGGGGGACCATTGTTTCCCTGAATTACCAACATCAGGTCATAAAATAAAAACCAACTTAACAACATTATTGAATGGAACTTACCCTTATATCCTTTTCTATACTTGTACAGCTGACCAGTACATCCTTCATAGACATGTTGTAAATAGGAACACGTCTTCGGGGAATTTCCTGGAGATATTTTGAAAACATTAAATCATAATTCCATGATAATTCTTATATATTAACATTAAAATATGGTAAAACCCATAATGAGCTGTCAGGTGACAGGTGATATATTTAAACAAAACAAATAAAAAACGGTTTAATTCTGATTTATAATAATAATAATAGCATATTTGTAACGCGCATATATCCATGCTTAAGCATGCTCAAAGCGCACAAAATATAAATGCAATTAAGGCAAAGAGCTACAGTTGAAAGGCTTTCTTGATTGGATTTAAAGGTTTCTACAACTCTTCAACCTATTTGACATTCCATGTTATAGTATACCTGAAAGTATATTACACTTCATGTTATTGTTAATTGATTTCTATGATGACGTTTTACCACTTGTTTGATCAATTTGTATGAGGACCATGATGATAAAAGTGCCCACAAGATAACAAACAGACAATTGCAAATACCAGCTATCTGTCACAAACAGACATACCATTCTCAGCAGCATGCAGGACAAGATACACTGGGGGCCATACACTCTGCAAAATAAACAAAAAGCTACATAAAGTATGGAGAAAGCACAACATTTAAACAACCATTGGGGATGCCATTGATGTGAACTGAAATTTCAGTATCAAAACATTTGTCTTGAACTGAAAAATCTCTTGATTGTACTGATATATTGCTAAGACATAATTTATATTTGTCCATTAATAGGTATTGCTGTTCAATGTTCTACCTTAGACCAATCACATAACAATAGTTTGAAGATATTATCTGGATATAATTATTGAAGCAAGTGTTAAAATTGCATGCATATCAAAATAATCACATCCTATCAGCTTCCACAGTTCGATCATCAAGACACACCTTTAAGTCTAACCATCAGGGCTCCAGATAACTTTTGGGGTGTGAGTGTACTTACACATCATATTGCAAGTGAAGGTGTACTGAGAATTTTGAAGGAGTACCGACATGTGTGTTTGTGTGAGCGAAGTTGATGTGGTTTGTCTGGACGATTCATCGATCACTATTTCCAACCATGTATTTGTATTTGAAGACGCGTGAGAAATAACTGAGCGACCATGTGATGCGCGAAATGTCAGGTCCGACTGGATATAAATAGGAAAAGTGTAGTTTTTAGCCAATCGAAAAATAGTGACGCATATCGTTGCATGGCAACGCAAGGGATTCCTACTGTCGGGGTTTCCTTATGTGTCAAATCGTGTTTCGCAAAAGAAACTGAACAAGTATTTATCCGAAATAGATTTCCATTTGCACGATACGCACGGAAATTAAATGTTAGACGTACGAAGGTATTATGTGCGTACACGATATGCTTGAAATCTTATATTATGTCGTACTTAATTGATTTTGAGGCGTACATTACGCATGTACGGCCCTTATCTGTAGCCCTGAACCATTATATGTGTTCACTTAAGACAACACAGCATCTTAACAGGACCTTAAGTGCACTTCAGGATGCTAACTTTCTCAAGACATAATAACTTGAAAGCAAAATGACAGAATGTTTTTATACAGTTCCTCCTCACAGGGTCATTATGCGAAAACAAGGAATGAGGTCTGGTCAGACTGGTCAGACCTGGAAAGGTCTGAGGGTCCATGTAAAATTTACGCTTTAAAGTTACTGAAACCGGTAAAGCATCCTCTGCTTCATTGCAGTAACTGTAACAAGCTGTAAGCCATCTAACAATAGTTCCAAATGACACCTTGTTTTCTGGCAGGTAAATCAATATTAATCATGTTACAGTTCAATACTGATTAAGAGAGAAAACATGTAGGCTCAGGGAACATAAACAAACATCGAGGGTACGTCAACCCATGCCCCCCTCGTGACCAGTGAACAACTTATTTATCTTACCGAACACCATAATGTTAATTTTGAATTGTTTGAAGCACGGGAACAAATCTTTTTTAGTCATTGCTAGATCTTGCTGACAAGAAAAACAGATTTAGAGTTATCTCCCTTTCATTGATTTGCATTCGCAAAACATCGGTAATTTCCGTACATCATACGTGATTCAATGTTATTCGAGATAAAGAATTACTACCATGAAGTACCAAATGAGTTGCCATTGACAGCGGGGTACACTGAAATGTTACTCGCTTGTAAGCGGGGTACATTGAAAATAATAGAAGAGAGCTCAGCCAATCAGAAAGCGACATTTATGTATGAGGTAAGATAAAACATGTTGGTAATGTTATTTGGAGGTTTACATTGAAATGTATTGTTTCCTCACATAGTTCAGATTAACCAAAATAATCTTAACTGTGGCATAACAGCACAAATATTCGCAGTATCTAAAACTTCCCCACTCGGGCTGTTACACATATTAAGTAACAAATCCTTCCGACCTGCATCCTATAGCAGCAAGATGATGGAAGGCTTCTCCTTCAAATGGGTCAATCAAGTAAACACTGGTTCTGTCTTTCTGCTCCATGTCCAGACATTCAGCTGGTGTAATCCAGAGAGGCTGGAACCCATTCTCAATTAATATCTGAAATTAACATGGACACATGTATCATGAGCATTTGATTAATAATTCACAAACTGATATAAACATTCTCGTATCATTCACACAATTCTGTTAAAAGTATTATACTCAGACCTCGTTGTATCACGGCATTCATGGTATCGCGGCAAACGGTATTTCGGGTTTTCCGCGCGAGACACGCCTCCTAGTGGTGATTTGCATATGTAAATCGACAGACAGACGTCAGTCGCTTGTTTACTTTTTAGAAACCAGCAGGATGTATCGAATCTTTGTAAGCATTATGCAGCAGAAATATTAACATTAAACTCTTGAATCTAATGGAATCTGTCTGAACCCCATTCATCAAATACACGCTATAATATTTATGTGTCGTATATGACCCTTCCCACTCGATCTGAACTAGGTCGTATGCATTTCACTGTTGCCATATAAGGTAGTGGAAGTGACGTCATGAGCTTTATTTATCTCCCGGTGAATACCAAAATTTGTAATTCAAATAAGGACACAAAACGTAAAAATGATCCCTGTTCACTGAAAACGATTTTGCACACACTAACAAACTAGAAATTTAGAAAGGATTTATTATACTGTTGTTCACATAATTATTTATTCATATTTTAACATTATTTCAGATAATATTTTGCATTGAAATATTGTTGAAATCATGGCTGAAATAAAACAAAAAACAACAGTATGAACATATATTAAGAAAATCATGATGAAAATGATGTATTTTGGAAGTTTGGTGATTTCCTTGAATAAAATTTCATAATGGATACAGTTTTGTGCACCTTTGATTACAAAAAGTACCTCAACTGATTTCACATTAAGGTGAGTTAAACAATTTCATTTTTTGTTCCCTACATCGTCTTGCAATCCGAGTTTTAGTGTTTACCGCGATACGATGGAGTTCTATCCTTTGGTAAATATTAACCGGCTTCGTTCGTTTAATGGCTCTCGCTGAAACACTATCAAAGTTAAAATAATATTCTTTTCACAAATGTGTTGAATAAATGTGATGTTAATCGGATTTAATAATAGAATAGGCCATAAAAGTTTTTAATTTCATTTACGATTACGGATATGTCAAGTACCGCGATACAACGAGGTCGCAGGCTAACTGTCTTACCCGAAATTCAAACAGTGTGAATAAGGAGTGAATGCTGTTGTCAAGAACATTTAAATGAAGATTGGTTGCAGCCACCAACAAATAATTTACTGCAGCAGATGCAAACCTGTGGCTAATAACATGAACACTGACACAACAATACACAAATGGCAATGTGCAAGGAAACAAACCCTTCTAGTCTAGACCATCATGAGATACCAATGGATACTACTGAAGCCCTATCAGCACTAACATTTCTACACGGAACAATGTGAATAGGCTATTGCAGTTAATAACTTTGAACTTTAGACAAGACTATCTTTGAAGCAATGGATAATACTTTATTTTCCTTTTAAGCATGGTAAGTCATAATCAACACAAATACAATTTCAGTGTTACCTCGCGAGCTTCCTTCAATTCATCTGTTGTCTCACCACCAGCCTCTCCCACACATTTCACCTTCAAGTTATCCTCCGACATAATTGTGGTCCTATTTTATCTGAAAGGAATAAAGACTATATAAAACATATAGTCATATAATGGGAAGGTTCCTTGGCATGATGAAGAGAATTGACAAAAATGGAATGCACTGGTGTCTGTACTAACAGCAGAGTATGAAATAAGTCCCGTCCGACCGCCTGAGATGAGCTAGATTTCTGACGGACGGTCTAGATTTACAGCTAGCCAGCCCAATGGTCTGGCAAAATCGAGTCATATCTTGGTGTCTGGTCTGGTTAAATCCATTTTGCCTGGTCAAGGAATTGGCATTATTTCATACACTCAGAGAGAGATAAAGATGGATATGAAAGGGAAACAAGTAGGAAACTTTCATGTCAAACCTAACCTCAGACGTCAACATGCTCAAGGAATTACATTTCCTCAGGACAGGGATTTACAGGACACTAATTCCTGCGTCCTAATCCTATATACACATAAAAATTTACAAAGGATGCAATAAAATTTATTAGTGCATCCACAGGGACTCAGAAAAAGTCCAAATACATTTTGTAAAAATTCCAATCAAGTGACAATAAGTTATCACTAAGTTTGCTACTAGCTAGGTTATGGTATTTTGTAATTAGTGTAACAATGTGGTGATCATGATACACAATACAATAACACTAACAGTATTAATAATAATATGTAAGTGTCTGGGACCCCCATTTTGTAGTCCAGGACCCCTGAAAATTAAGAGTATGAGTCCCAAGGACCCTCACATGAATACAGGACTCAAGGTAAATCCCTGGTAACCCATGCTTGTTGTAAGAGGCGACTAACAGGATCGGGTGGTCAGGCTCGCTGACTTGGTTGACAAATGTCATCATATCCCAATTGCATAGATCAATACTCATGATGTTGATAACTGGATTGTCTGGTCCAGACTTGATAATTTAAACACCGCCTCCATATATACTATGATACAGCTGGAATATATTGCAGAGTGCAATGTTAAACAACAAACAAAAAATAATGTTGACATGGTCGACAGGCTGTCTTGGTTATTGATCCAGGATGTTTACAATCGGGGCCTTACAATTATCACAAAAATGTGAAATCGCCTCTCCAGTCACAATATATACATCATTGGATCAACCTTGTGTTGGTGGTATTGACAGATAGAACATGCGTTCTTTGACAGACAGCTGAATGACAGGAATATTCACATAGGCACACCAGTGACTGACGTGAATATGTCTTTAGCCTTCGGCTATATTGTCCGAGAAATGACACTTTATGTAACAGAAACTCAGAAAAAAACAACTTGCGTAGTTAGTTAGGAAATATGTAGGAAGAGTTGTTATTGTTGTCATTCCAAATCCGCAAAATCAGCAGTCAGACGATTGCGAAACATGTTGCTGTCACAATTAACACAACGATCGAATCCACGATTGTGGTACCACAAAGACACTTACCACTATAACATCACTCAAAGCTAGTTGTAAATATAAATGAAGCATACCCAACAGAGATATCTAGTTTAAATTCCACTTCCACGACCGCCAAAGTTTTGAATCGCCATCTTTGTTTGAGGATAGAAAAGCAACAGATACAAAAGAAACGAAATCAGATGCGTATCAAACATTGGCAAGAATGATATGAAAAGTTGGTTTTACCCATTTGCATTTCCAAATCACATGTAGTTCAATATTCCGTATGCTATTATATTGTCCAACCAACTAATTTAAAGTCTTGACCTTCCAATGCCATTATCTCGTTATTACCATGACAAGAACTAAAACGAAATATGATTGCAAGTGAAAACATCGGAATATCACACCGACATTTATGAAAGAAACAAACAGACATGGGTGAAATGTTATTTTTCTCCGTCAAAGCAATCTTTCATTAATATCAGTGGTGTTAAATGCAGATATATTATCAATAAACGAGTTACATGGCTCTCCGAAGTGACGCCAAAGGATTGTACAATAAACTCAAAGAAATTATGTTGTAATAAAAAATGACATTCACTCAGCTACGCTACAAGGAGACAGTCACTTTTGATTTCCAGATCAGTTCACATGATATTATTTGCCAAAACATAATTCGATAAAAGTTTATTGCCTCAGGTCACAGATACATGCAAACAAAGGTAGGAAATATTTTATGGGGGCAAAATGAGATAATATTTTGGATACATCGCTCGAAAGTTTGGGTACAAAAGCACTATACTTACGCATGTTTTATTTAATTAATGGAAATATCTGCGAAAGCAATTTTCTATTGCTTAACAAAAATAGAAATAATCATTCTAGAGCAGAGACCATATTTACCATACGGTCTCTGTCCAAGGTGGCCGTTTGTTTCGCCAATTTTACCAATCAATATAATTTTTATTTTTGCTGTTTTAGTATGAAACTGCGAGGCACCTGTCCACTCTGCTTCCAGACAGTGGTCAGTCAATGTTGGTAGGATAGTAGTGTATTTTCGAGAAGTATTTGTCATGTTGCGTTTTTTAACATATTAAGCAATTTATCGTACCATTATAAATACGACAACACGGGGATGTAGCTTCTGTCGTTTATTCCACGGGCCAGAGCCCAACTGCCGAACTTCGTTCGGACCTCCCGGGATATCCCTCGCCGCTGACCTGCCCCGGTCATCAGCCGGTCATCCCGGGACTTCAGGGAGCTCAGCTAGCTCAGCCTCCCCGGCAGGTACACACATTAATATAATCTGTCTAATCTACACATGCACTAAGTTCTTCATTCTACGTTGCCTACTTTGTTACACTATGTTTCATTTATACTAAGCACACTAACATGTATATATAACCAATGATAATTCATACATCCATAATATTACCTATAACATAACATAACATATTATCTATAACATAACATAACATAACATCTATAACATAACATAACATAACATAACATATTATCTATAACATAACATCACTACGATATTTGCCCCTTGAAAAAAAAATTGTCACGTCCTCGTGACGAATGATATTGCCAATACTGTCTGTGGGCACACGAAAGTTTGTTTGACACACAATTGTCCAGGTACACTTTCCAAGGAGGCATTAAAAGAATATACACTCTAAAAAGAATTAAATATGTTCACACGTCCTTTAACTAGGACGAAAAAGAAAAAAAAAAAAATAGATGGTGAGCACCGTGCGCATCACATTGCGCTTGGTACAACACAAACACACACAGTTGTCCGTTTCCTTTTTTCCTTTTCACTGTTCCTGGAAATAATCATGACTGTTAAGAAGTTCCACACATTCTGAAGTACAATCGTGCCAATATCTCAATTGTCCCGGGCATACTACAGCAAACAAAGTTAATATACAGGCAACCGTATAAACAAAAGAGACCAGATAATTAAAACAATGTGCTGAGCTCAATATCATGTTACCAACTCACACGGGGTTTGGTAGAATTATGCAATGCAAGAAGTAACTTAAGTTCGAAAGGTACTAGGCACGTGCGATTAATAAATTTCAAGTATAGAGTTCCTGGCCAGGAGAATTGTTCTTTGATTGCATAATACCTACTTCCAAACTACCCCAATGTATTGATGTTATCATACTAGATAACTTAACGACGTCGTTTCTTTCTCGCTCTGCCCATCATTGTCTTATCAATATGAAATTGACGTACCAGTTCTGCTGGTAAATTCATTTGTGGTTCCCAAGTAGCTTCTCGCGTTGGGTAATCTTTCCATTTAACCCTGTAATACTTTCGTCCGTTAATCGTACGGGAAGCAAGTAATTTTTCTACTTCGTATATGGGCTCATCGGTAGGTTCAGTTTCGCTGGGTGATCGTGTTTGATCAGCCAACTGAGACCTGGCGGGGTCACTCTGACCTGCCGCTGCCCTGTTTCCCTCCCTCATTACTGGGGGGTCAGCATTCGGACACTGCTGTTGTGCCGTAACCGGCCGCTCATTAGAAGGGCTGGTGAGGCGCTGTGACGGATCATTGTACATGCGTAGTCTATTGGCATGGACTGGCGATTTCTGGAGTTTGTTGGTTTCACAATGCCTTAGCAAGTAAGTGTCGTTGGGACCTTGTCGAGTGATAAAATATGGACCTTTGTACTTTCTGTGCAACTTTGGACTAAGGCCAACTGGTACCTTCGGATCATGTAACAAGACTTTCTGTCCTAAGTCAAATACAATATCGGATGTGTTCCTGTCATAATATTCTTTGTAGACTCTTTGAGCTTTCTGAATATTCTGTTTGGCGACTTCGCGTGAAACATCTAAATTATGGAACAGTTTGTCAAGATGTTGTTGATAAGTATCAGACAGTGTATTGTCTGGAGTGTAAGCGGTGTCGATTGGTAAGACACATTCTTTGCCAAATAACAGATAGTATGGACTAAACTGTGTTGATCTGCTGGCGGGTGTAACACGATACGCACACGCAATACTGGGAAGCAAGTCAGGCCAGTCTGTCTGATCACCGGAGCCGTATGCACGAAGGCTTTGTTCTAAAACACTATTAAAGCGTTCTACAGTTGCATTACTGCATGGATGGTAAGCTGAAGTGCGGAGTTTGACTATGTTAAATATTTTGCAAAGCGCTGTAATCAGTTTTGAATTGAAATTCTGTGCTCTATCTGTGAGAAGTTCCCGTGGCCAGCCATATCTACAAAATACCTCATTGTACAAGATTTTCGCGACTTCAGTTGCTTGCATTGTCTTCAGGGGAAATAGTTCCACCCATTTAGAGAAAGCACACGCGACAACGAGGACATATTGATATCCATCTGCCGTTTTCTTGAGAGGGCCTACGATATCAACATGTAACCTTGAGAATAGACTGCCGACAGGTAGCGGATGTAATGGAACCTTAACTTTTTTTGTGCATTCGTTTTGATTTCTGACATGCAATACACGTTTTAACATACGTTTTGATATCATTGTACATACCCGGCCAAAAGTAGCGATAACGAACCAGCTGGTATGTGCGTTCTACACCCTGATGACCTGCCATTAGTGAATCATGTAAGCTTATCAGTATGTCATCACGCAGCGATTTTGGCACTACTAGCTGTTTGATCAAGCGTTCTGTTTTGTCACCCTTACCGCGTGGGTAATACAGATGATACAACACATTGTCATCAAGGATATAATCCTGTGCTTCGAGAATCAAACGTCTAGCCACGTTGTCCTCAGACGGAAGTGAACCGTCGTGTATGTATGAAATATATTTGAGAACATCTGGGTCTGATCTCTGTAATGTTTTGATTTGGGAGGTATCTACCGTGAGTTTGGATTGTGCTTCTGATACATCGGTGGTTTCCTGATTGGAAATGTTGGAATCTGTGTCTAAAATGTCTATGTTGAAAATATCTGGAAGCTGTTCATCTACCGTGGAATCTGGATTACCAATTTCATACGATCTACGTGAGAGTGAATCGGCATTAGTGTTCTGTTTGCCAGGTCGGTAAGTAACTGTGTAATGGTATCCTGCTAGTTGTATGGACCATCGAGCGAGACGACCGTGTGTGTCCTTACACGTTTTTTAACCATTTCAATGCACTGTGATCTGTTATGACCTCGAAGTGATTGTGAGCGAGATAGACATGATAATGTTTGATTCCTTCTACTACTGCGAGACATTCGCGTTCCGAGATACTCCATTTCTTTTCGTTATCTCTTAAACCTCGCCCTCCATAGGCTACTGCATACTCATTATTATCCTCGTCACGCTGTCCAAGAATATAACTGATTGCATGACCACTGGCGTCTGTCGTTAGAAGAAAGGGTTTGGAAAAGTCGGGATATTTTAAGATTGGTTTTGAAACAAGTGATTGTTTTAGTGAACGAAAGGCTGCATCACATCTATCTGACCAAACAAATGGTGTATCTTTCCTGAGAAGTGCTGTTAGAGGTGCCGCAATGTGGGAAAATCTTTTTATAAACCGTCTGTAGAAATTTGCTAAGCCTAAAAATGCACGTACTTCATGCACTGACTTTGGTTGGGGAAAACTTTGAACAGTCTCGATCTTGTTTGGGTCGACAGTGATGCCATCCTTTGACAGAACATAACCCAAATAAGTAACTCGGGAAGCTGCAAAGTTACATTTGCTGGGCTTTGCTTTCAGACCGGCTTCTCTCAATCTTGTGAACACTAAGCTGAGATCTTTCAAGTGTTGTTCAAAGTTCTTAGAGTAGACTAGGAGGTCGTCAACATAAGCAATAGCACATTTCCAATGCAAACCTCTCAGTACTTCAGTCATAACAATCATGAATGTAGCAGGTGCATTACATAATCCGAAAGGCATACGCTTAAATTGATACTGACCGTTGTGGACTGCGAAACTAGTTTTGTGTTTTGAGTCAGGGTCAAGTTTTATCTGATGGAATCCATTAAACAAGTCCAGAACGCTAAACATAGTTGCGTGTTTTTCACCCAAAGTGTCCAAAACATCTTCTATCCGTGGCAAAGTTTGGAATGACGGCAGTGTTACGTCATTCAGCTTACGGAAGTCACAACATAGTCTGTATTGGCCTGAGGGCTTTTTAACCATAACTACAGGTGCCTGCCAAGGGGAAATAGACTTTTCAATGATATCA